AAGATGACGAGAGGGAGAGGGAAGCTGATGAGAGGCAATGGGAGTATGAGTGTCAACTTGAGCGTGAAGGTACAAAGATGTTCATTTTGTACGGAACAAGCATGCAACAATATCAAGCAACATCATCTCGGCTTAGATTATCATCACGAAAATCATTGAGGCATAACAAGGAAGATGGTCACAAGCGCTTGATGCAAGATTGTTTCAATCCAAATCCAACCTACGATGCTAAGGCCTTCACCAGGCGATATAGGATGCCCCCGCATTATTCAAATGGGTCATGGATGATGGTGTTCACTATGATGACTACTTCAAACTAGGGAGAGATTGTTCAGGTCGTCTCTCATTCTCCCCACATCAAAAGCTAACTATTGCTTTTCGAATGCTTGCATATGGATGATCGCCAAACTCTTTGGATGAGTCATGTCGAATGGGTGAGAACACCGTACTGGAGTGCCTGAGGAAGTTCTACTCAACTATCACCAACAATAATGGTGCTCACTACTTGCGTGCACCAATAGTGGAAGATACATGTTCCCTCCTTGATCATGCTGCACAACGTGGTTTTCCAGGCATGATTGGTTCGATTGACTGCATGCATAGGGATTGAAAGAATAGTCTGACCGGGTGGGTAGGCCAATACGCAGGGCATAAGAACAAACCAACCATTGTCCTCATTACTGTAGTATCGTAAAACACATCGATTTGGCATGCCTTCTTCAGAACACATGGATCCAACAATGACATCCATATTCTTGGAATATCCCCCTTATTTGACCAAGCAGTACAAGGAACAGTTCCATAGGTTAGTTGTGAGGTAAACGGTAAGATATACGATCAATTTTATTACTTGGTTGATGGAATTTATCCTGAGAGGGCCACATTTGTGAAGACAATTAGCAATCCGAATCATCAGAAGAATAAGTTGTTTGCAAGGTACCAAGAGGCTTACCGTAAGAATATTGAGAGAGCCTTCGGCACACTACAACAAAGATGGGTCATTGCTAGAGGGTCGAGTCATCTCTGGGACGTGCAATCACATGGTGAGATTATGTTAAGTTGTCTTATTCTCCATAATACGATAGTGTAAGATCAAAGGTATGAGTATGTGGATGAGATAGTGGAACATATTGAATATGATACGAATCCGAATGTTAGTTCGGATTCACTCGCTCATAACATTCTGAACCTAATGGAGTACAGGGCCAGACACAATAGAATTCGAGATCGTCCGGGGCATCATGCATCGAAAAATGATTTGATTAAACATTTGTGGACAAAACATGGAGGAGAGTAGAAATTTGATGTATTGATGTATTTCCATAAAGAAGGTACTTGCATTAATAATTGAAGAATAACAATCAAAATAGCATACAATCAATCAAAAATCAAACTAAATAAAATAATAAACTCAAAATAAAAGCAATTCACTAAAAAGATTACACGTCGATGGCATAATGAAGTCATCATTTGGCTATAACAAGGAGCATCTTGGTATGATGCCACAATCTCATTATTTAGCCTTTGATACCAAGCTCTACTTCGAGGAATGAATTGAGAAAAATCCCATTCATTATCTTCATATCGTGATAGTTCTTATCCCTTGCTTCCCTTGATTTATCTCTTGTTTCTCTCGCTTTATCTCTTACTTCTCTGCCGACTTCGCGTTACCCTCTAGCTAGTGCCAATTGTTTGTGCGTATTTTAATTATCCACCAAATTGGCCACATTCTTGTCCCAAATTTCCGAGGAAGAATATGGAGTTCCTCGTTCTTCTTCTTTTGCTTATCTCGGCCTTCAGGACGATTGATCACAAAAGGAGTGACACTTTGATCATCGAGACTATCACTTTTGCTAGATGGCATGGTCGATGAAGATCCATCTATTGCAGGAACCTTCGAGAATGTTGAAGTATATCACAACAATGATTGAGCTTGAAATCCTTCATGGTGTTTGCTATGAAAGTTTTTTTTGTTCGTTCAACCTAAACAAATAATTCAAGCATATTAACAAGTAATAACTACATAATTAATTAAGAAATAATAAACAAAAAAAAAATTCACTATCACATCATCTAGGTTCTCTCCGCTTATTGATGTGGCGATTGCTCTCTTCGACGTTGCATTCCATGATCCACACTCTCGGAGGATGGTCTTCCATCTTGAGTTCAAATCCACGTCATATAGGTTCTCTACACTCTCATGATGGATATGTTGCATTATGGATTTGAAAAATATGTTGAATCAAAATGTTTTTTCTCACGCTATAACACTTATTTTTCTAATCCAATAAACAAACAACCCTAGTATCATTTTCAGTTTTATATTTTACTAGTGAAAACATATACCGAAAACATGCTCAACTATGTTTACATTTGTTGTCGTGGCAATATGGGTTGACAACACAACGTTAATGAGATGAAACCTGTAGAACCACTTTAAGTAGTTTTTTTTTTCTGTTTCCAATAGTTGTTTGTTGTGAGATCTTATCGGTTGTTAAAATAATTTAATTCAAGTGAGTTTGAACCAAATCTCACTAGACCCACTATGGTACATATTTTTTTCTCTCCATTTTCGCACAACTCATCTATGAAACTTTATTTCATATCTTTTTGTCTCTCAATTTTCTTTACAACTCATCTATGAAACCTTATTTCATATCTTTTTGTCTCTCAATTTTCTTATTACTCATCACGCCACACTATTCCTCCCTTTATTTGTACTTCTGTCTTAGTGTTAACATTGATACTAAACGGAGTGTAAAGAAATAACTAGGCACATTTCTATTTTCGGTTTTTAATTTTCAAGATTTTTCAGAATTTACGAATTCAACAAATTTGTATTTTCTATTTTCATAAGTTACCACTTTGGAAATGGCAGAAAAGAATAAAGAAACATTTGAATAATGATGGGAAATTACGTTATCAATTACAGGCGGGAACATTTAAAGCTAACAATACGGCAAGATCCCTACTTTCAACTGCCAAGGGGGGGTGCAGGCATAAGGCCTACAAGATTAGCTAACCAAGCTTTACTCGCCAAAGGAGGGTGGAAACTAATCAATGATGACCAAGCTCTCTGGACTAGGTTGCTGAAAGCTAAGTATGGCCGGGCACGTCAAGGGATAGATTGCCTTCGCAAAACACAGGGAAGTTCGATGGTCTGGAGAAGTTTTTCTAGCGTTGTGAATGTCCTTTTGAAAGGACATGCCTCCAATGTTAGGAATGGTTGTCAAACTAAATTTTGGCTTGACGTTTGGGTTTGCAGGTTCCTCTAATCAATATTGCAACAAGGAATGTTCCCGAAGGCCAAGAAAACAAAACAATAGCTGAGTTTTGGGACCCGGAGCAAGGCTAGAAACTTGAAGAGTTTGAAGACTTCCTCCCTCAGCAGGTCACAGATAAGATTAGGGGCATTCTGGTGGATCCACTCTCCACCAAGGCAGATCACTTTTTCTGGAATCTCACCTCCAATGGTAAGTTTTCAGCAAGTTCAGCTTATAACGCTATCTCACTGGTGGACACGACAAAACCAACAAGTTTTTGGCAGAAGATTTCGCACCTCAACGTCCCGGAAAGAGTTCGAGTCTTTGTTTGGCTTGCAGTCAAAGGAAAACTCTCGACTAATAGTGTGAGGAAGTTTAGGCACCTCACATCTGATGATAAATGTCCTGAATGCAAAGAGGTTCCAAAAACCAATCTTCATTGTCTCAGAGACTGCGTCGTCGCCAAGGCTGTTTGGTCGAAGATCATACCTAGCAACCGCCAACAACAATTTTTGGGAGTTGAAGTTGATGAATGGTTTCAGAAGAATTTAATGGAAAACTCCCGAGGTGGATGGCCAGGTGATTGGGCAAGTTACTTCTGTCTCCTAACTTGGTACATATGGAAATGCAATGATGACACTGTTTTCAAAGGAATCCGGCTCTCCGTCAACCCTCCACAACTATGTTACCTCGAAAGCCTCAGAGTGGGTCAAAGCATGGGAGTCAGGGAAAGTGAGAAACGGATCTATTAACAAGCTGCCCAGGAGTGAGATTTTAATTAGCTGGAGTGCCCCGCCAGCTGGTTGGGTGAAACTAAATTCAGATGGGGTAGCCCATATCACTTCAGGAGTTGCGACTGCAGGAGGCGTCCTAGGCTTGGAGGATTCTCCAGTAAGCTTGGGACAAGATCGGCAGTTATGGCTGAGTTGTGGGGAATTTATCATGGTTTGCAATTCGCCTGGAAGAAAGATTTCAGTATCTCATCCTGGAAACCGATTTGAAGCTTGCGCTGGATCTTATTGAGAAACATACTGACCATGTTCATCCGTATGCTACTTTACTTGGAGCCATCCACAGATTTTTGACTGAAGGATGGGTGGTTCGTGTTATTTATACATACCAGGAAGGGAATAGAGTCGCGAACTGGCTTTCAAAGCACAGTCTCGTCTATCCCTTTGGTACGCATAAATTAGAAGACCCCACCAGATTTGAATCAACTCCATCAACTCCTTCATGAAGATATTGTAGGAGTTAGTTTCCCTAGGCAAGTTCCTCTAGATGATATAAGTGTTGTTTAAGTTGTTGGGGTGGTCCTTCCCCTAGAAGTTTTGTTCGCTGTTTTGCTAGCAACAGTGCCTCTGTAATCTGGCTTTTGCCTCCTCATTAAGAAAAAAAAAAAAGTATCTATATCTTAAAGATTCAGTGAGCCTAAAATAGGGAGCGGGGACAAAAAAAAAAAAAAAGAAGAGAGGACGAACTGATTAACTTAGGTTTACAAGCAATCTAACAAGAAAGAAATTTTTTATGTACACATGGCCATTTGTTTCTCTACAAACAAAAATTCACATCTCAATCGAGATTCCAGTTTTCTGCTACCACTCATCCCTTCTGTACATTTCTTGGGGAACAAGCCACCATCAACAGTTTTCCCCGTCATTTTTCAAACTGTTCTTGGAGGGAATGGAAAGATAGGAATGTGTGTCGCAGAACCCAGTTTTCCTACTACCACTCATTCCGTCAATCTTTCCCGTATGTGTTTGCGAAGTCTTTAATCCTCTGCTTAAGGTTCTGCAGTGATAGAAACCCGTGCCACCTTTATGATCAACTTGAGTTCAAAGAAAGAATGAAATGAACGGATGAAAAATGTGGATGAATCACTCACCTTTAGTTCTTCATGAAGCACGACAAATATCTTCTTCAACCGTTTGTGTCTCTGCAAGTTGAACCATAGCAGGTAAAGATTAGGTAAAGCTCAAATGTAGATAAACATGTACTTAAAGTTAGACCAGGCTTGGATTTTTGCCATTTAGAGCCAACATCACGATACTACTTCTAGCAGGCTAATCATGGGGGTTTACAAGATTCTCCATGTGCCATACAAGAGTTCTCAACTTGCTATCTTGCAATACTCCCAATATCAGTTGAACTAAACTACTGTACACCATATCAGTCTGTGATGGAGCTCCATCTTTATCTAAACTAAAATTTCAGTTACTCGATACAGTTGACGAGAAGGAATTTAAGCATGCTCGCCCGTCATCATGCACATATATGTAGTAGAGAGTAAACAGAAACCACGCATAGCTTTAATGCGATTTGCAACTGCGACTAAAATCAAAGAATGAGTAAATTACTGTAGACAAAGTATTAGAATCGTACTGCTCCACATTGACGATAAGATTCCTTCAACTGCGCCAAAATTGTGTGGTATCTCTCCATATCCCGGCCTTTTGCAAATTCAAGGTCCTTACCAAATTTATGGAACTGATTCCTACCAAAATTAGAAAAATAGTCGATGTTATAAGTAAAACATTACTAATGTAATTGAGGAAAAAGTAGTGTTGACCTTTTTTTTCTGGTTACAAGTACCTATAGCTCTCCAGGAGTTTGTTCAATGCACAATAGCTCTCATACTTGTCACGATATTCCTCAACATACTCCTTGTACCTAGCAGCAACAAGAGACAGAGAATGTCATAAATTTGAAGCCCATGTTAGGCCATTAGGTGATCTATCCGAGAGTAATAAGTGCACAAAACGTTGGGTAAAGAGGAAGATATAATAAAGCAAACTAATTAGCAACACTTACTGTGTGAATTCTCTAACCGGTCCCTTCAGCTCTGGGGTGTCCTTCTCATACTTATAGAAAGAAGAGTTACCTTCCTCAGGAGAAGACTCTCTCCTCATTTGTCCACGGTCGTTTTCCTTGGTTACTACAGTGTCATCTCTCCGAACCTCTGCCCTATCACCGATGGTATTATTAGATGCTAGAGCTTTGCTTTGCTTTATTGAATTGTTAGATATTCCACGTTTTAGATCATGCGGCTGGTTTGCAGCACCCTGTACTTTCTTCTGGTTTTCTCCATACCCTTCTATGCCATTTCCCACTTTTGCCCCTGCTTCATTAAGCCGCGACCTATTACCATCATTTGATTTTTGGAAATGATTTCCAACGTCAGCGTTATCAGCTCTCATAAGGTTTTGTGGAGGGCGATACTGGCCAAACTGCACACTTTTCGTTGTATCTTCTGAAGGCCGTCCAGAGTCCAGAGTTGACTTTCCAACTGGTCTTCCCTTGCTTAAATCTTGATTATTATGGCTATCCGAAGTACTCGGCCTAGCATCTGTCAATTTCAAGAAACCTTTCCTGTCGAACGGCTTCTCAGTTGGTGGTGTTTCTTCGAGCAATGGTTCACGAAGTTCCCCCAACTCCAAGTCTGAAAGCTCTCTCTGGAGGGCCCTCCCACCGGCATCAGGATGCTTCTTGGTTTCACTTCTGTTGCCATCTTTTGGTGAAGCAAGGTTGATGCTTGAAAATTTGGGAGCATCTTTGGAATTGCCCAATATTTCCGCCTGCCTTCCTCCAGTGCTGACATCCTTCGGACGTTTTGGGGCCTTTTTCTGTTTTGGAATACTAAGCTCATGGTGACTACTTTTCGAAACTTTTTCTCTTGAAGATTTACGATTGTGTTTTGAGCCCTCAGTCAACTGTCTGATTTTCTCAGACGGCTGAAACTCTAAACCAGCTTTCCCGGGAGTCATCTCACTGCGACTTTGAAGTGGATCAAGATCAGTACTAACTTCCTCAATCACATTCACTCCTTCATTGCCAGGGGTCTTATATGTATCTTCTAAGCGCCTATCACGGGGACTCTCGAAGAACGTGGCAGCATCCCAACTTCCAGAATTGGTAGCAGCTTGAGTCAAACTGTCCGACTTCTGTCCTTTTGTGTATTCAGATTTCCCAACCTGTTGCTTCTTCTCTGGTACTTCCTTCAATTTACCCTTGGATGTCCTCTCGGAGCTATCAGACTGTTCATGTCTGAAGCCATTACCATCATCGAACAAATTTCCAATGAACGCTTCACGATCTTGCAAAATGCCATGGTCAGATAATATTGAGGCCGCATCTTCCCTCAGCATTTCGCCTTCTTTGCAAGGAATTTCCTTATCTTCTTCACCAACCAATTCTCTCTCGATGTCAACAGCATCAGATCCATCCCCCTCAATGTCTATATCGACTGCATCAGATCCCTCGCCATCTTGCTTCTCTTCCGTGCCATTATGCAACATAGACCTCCACTGATCAGGAGATGAAGACATATGTAACTTATTATCACTGGGCAGTTCTCTGTCGTCACTCGACATAATATCCACATCTTCATCAGATGCCTCTTTGCCGCTCGAAGAAGCATCACTATCACTATCACTGCTTTTGCTCTTGTTGCTTCCGCTGTCGCTATCACTACTGTCGCTGTCACTAGAACTCTCACTAGAACTGGCCGTTCGCCCGTCACTGTTGTTGTCCGACTCCTTCCTGTCACCAGCAAACAAATCAGGTGATGATGATAGACCTAGGATGTCGATTTTCTCCGATGCATTTGCTTCTCCGTCCATTCTGGAGTCAGACTGGGGATAAGGAATGGCAGGATTATCAAGAAAAGCTTGCTCTGGAGTAGGCCTCTTCTCGTGGTTGTCCATGGAAGCAAGTATCTGCCTCCCATTCTCTTCTGGAGAGCTGCAAATGCAGAAAAAAAAAAAAAAACACATGAGCAGCCATTTGGGTTAGAGTAAATGGTTGGTCTATATACTGGCTAGTTTATTTAGGTTTTAGGTACCTTACAAAAAGAACACTTACAAATTTATAATCAAACTTACAGCAAGTGAGCAATCAGTTAGGCCCGTGAATTACTATAAAGTAGCAGGATATCAAGTAACAGTTCAGTTAGAACCTAGAATCATAAGTAGCAGAGCGAATGTAAACTACATGCATTGCTTTGAAATAAGTGCAATAACAAAGATTGCAGGTGATAAATCTCACTCTACTAAAATTCTTTACAGAATATCCAGAGATTGTCAATTATAAAATGTTTATTGTTAGCTATATCACATTTGTTGAACCAATCCCTGGTTTTGGGGAGAAAGCAGAGGGATGTACTTCCCATCAAACAACAAAAATAATTGGTGATTCTCAAGCAATCAATATCACCAATGAGCAAAGACATAAAAACCCCAACAAGTCCAAGATTCCATAATCATGTCACAATCAGAAGTACCTTCCACTGTCAAATGAAGGTTTCTTCACACTCTCCATGTCGACGCTTGATTTCAAGAAATACCTTCCTGGAGCTTGACAAATTGCTATCTGATAGCCAAAATCAAACAAGAAAGCATAAGCGTTGGGATGTCAAATGCTTAAACAGTCCTTAAACATACATGAAATTGACACTTCTAAGCACCGACCTTTCTTAAGATAGGCTCAATCTTCTTAGCAGCTCCAGGAACTGAATCCCCGATGGCTTTCTCCAAGGACTATTGCACAAAGAGAAATAACATGAATTTAGCAATATGCATTAATAGTTGGAAACATCTAGTATATAAAAATATTCTCCCAAGACTTTGCTAACATACTTTAATGGTCATCCCATTAGTTTTGTTCTCTGTCAGGAAGTAAGTCAACATATTTTCTATGTCCACTGGCTTGGCCCCAAAATTTCCTTTGGATCGAGCTGCCTCCTTTATGGCATTGCCACTCCCCGATAAGATTCCTTTCTCTGAGCCAGCATTTTGTTTACCTTTAAACTGATTAGGAGTAATTTCTTCAGAGCTTGTATGAACCTTGATGGAACTTCCAGTTCCCAATGGAGATGCTGGAACACCGGATCGCTCAGGTGTAGATGGCAGAGGTGAGGATGAAAGTCTACCTCTTGGGTTAGCAGCAGAAGTAACTCCAGTCTTAAATGACTTAGTTGGACCCCCAACTGCAATTTAATGCATTGATAAACTAAATTCACAGAAGAATACAGGGAAAATAGAGAAGTAGGAACAGGGTAAAGAAATCTGAAATTTGAGCTAGCAATTCATTGTCAAACAACAAACATCAGATGTTTGAATATCCACCAGCCAGATTATTTGAATAGATGATCCATTTCTCAATAAAAGAGTTTGACTAATGCACCTTGTGCAGGTTCCACCTTCCGCTTTTTTAAAGGGGGCTCTTTCTTCTGCTTAAAACCCATTCTCCTCGGATTAACTGAGAAGAAAAGAGACAAGTTACGACAGGAAAAAAATAACTTACCTTGACCTACAAATCAGAGGAGAATATAGCAGCCAAATAACAGAGATTTGAGTACAATCTAATTCATCTTTCCACCTGAAAATTGAAATGTTCCATAAGTGAATTAAAGATAAATACCATACCCTCAGCAGCTGCTAATTGCTTTATGGGATTCTTCAATGATGGGTTTGAGGGATCTAGCACAATGGCCCTGTCATGATATGCACAAAGGTTATAAGAACAATTTAAAGAAAATGAGGCTTATATTTGAAAAGGCATGAGCAAAAAATGTAATTTAAACTTGTCTATAGGATGCAGTTTCATGGTTATACAGATGGGGGGGGGGGGGGGGGGGGGGGGGGTGTATTTTAATCAATTACTGTGAGATAAGATGTCTAAGAATTAGCAGTCTCAGAGAAGAATCCACGTACAAGGAAACAGCCCCAGAAAGCAATAACACAAAACTTATTTGCTTCATGCTGCACAATCTCTAGTAAATAATAAACAGGCATGACCTTGACAGTAGTACTAATAAAACCCTCTAACCAATATTATTGGAACAATAAACATGAGCGTACCATTGGGACACATGTAATGAGCAAAACATTCTAGGGAAGAAGAAGTAAAATACAGAACACCCGAGTCACAAGAATCTCATCGACATTAGTCTAAGAACCAGGTTGCTTGAATTTACAAAACGTAGATGCACCCAAATTAAAGCAAATAAAAATACGGAACAAAATGATGAACAAACTGCTAAACAATTGTCATAACAGTATGATCAATAAACTTATAACTAAGATCCAGGAAGACATAATTTAACTTACTTGCGTGATTTATGCTTGCGTTCAGCTTCCTCGGACCGCATTTTAACATTGTTCTGCGTCGATTCGTCCAAGACACGTTGGACATTTACCTTCCGCCAGACAGATCCTGATTCAACAAGTAAACCATTTCCATCTTCTCCACTTTGACGTTGTTCATATATGTCAATAAGGTCCCCAGATTCCCTTGACCATACAAATCTAAACTCCTTGTTACCCACTTTGATAACCTGAAATCACATAGCCAATTTAGATTGAAGTTGCTAGAGGAACAAGGCCACGCAAACATGCACGGCTAGAGCTTTTAGAACAAAGTGGAAAATATATCTTGTATAAAGTGGACAAGAGTTCTTGTTTTAAGTGAACTTGACGCAAAAGTTCCTCCTTGCCTAGGAGCTCTTGCCATTTTTTCAGGAATTGAATCAATAGGAGAAGGCAAAAATGGCATAGAGGGAAGATCAGTCTTAGTTGAATAAAGATCAGTCTTTGACAGCCTTTTGTGGCCAGTATCAACCTTTTGGGCACCACAGCTGGAAAAGACTTGCCACGGGGGACTCCCTTCACTTCAGATCAGAAACGTTCTGAATCTGTGGGAGCTTCAGATAGGATGACGGTAAAGCTAAACAACTATGATTTTACTTAGCCATTTTCCTCGTCCTCTTCCTCTCTTATGATAAAGGTGAAAAGAAACCTTTATAAAATGGCAGGCAAAGTTGACAGCCCATTGAGCTACACCACATACTTCCTAATGCTGAAGGAAAATATTCTGGATGTGTGCCTTATTCCAAGGCAGCTTAAGAGCAAACTGCAAGTTTCTGTGGCAACTACATAAGTTGTTCATCCTGAGGTACTAGAGTAAGACGAGCATAACACCGCACTAGCTAGTTTGTAAGGTTGGCAACAAACTACTACACGAAGATTTCGTAATCCTGGTTAGCTCGTGCTATCAAAGATGTGCATAAGACCTGGCGAGAGAAGTACCAGAGCAGTCTCCGGAAACCAAGAACTAACCCAAGCTACGTTGAACACTAATTCAAGACGCGAGCAGCATTAAAGAAAGAGCAGTAAGAGAAAGATTGCATAGCCAGGGGAAAAAACCCACTCACATTCCCATTAGGATTATTCGCCATGGAATCGAACTTAATCCTGGCGCTGTCACCTTGAGCTTCCAACGTCCTGATCTCATCCACCAAGTCAGGTGCCAACTTGATAATCATAGCAAACGCCGGAGGCGAATTCCCCGGGACAAGAGAGAAACTCTCTTCAACGCCACCAGGGCCAGAAGTGGCATTCTTACTATTGCTCGAACCGCCGGAGCGGTTGTTGCGAGGATTACCGCCGAGAGAGAGGCGGGAAGCGGTGGGCGGCCGGTGGAGTGCGGAAGGAGGGTGCGAAAAAGAGGAGGAAGGGTGGCGCTGGGCGCCGGGACCTCCTCCCCTGCCGGAGCTGCCGCCGCGGCCGCCGCCGCCGAGCTTTGAGGAGCCAGCGAACATGGCGGTAGGGGTTCTTTCGAGGCAGTTAGATTTGATCAAATTGCAATTTGGGGAAATAATTTTTGATGCGGAGGAGGCGAAGGAACACAGAGTGCGCTGTTCATCTCTCTCTTCTTCTTCTCTTTAATTTTATTTCAATTTTTAATTTAATTTGCTGGTTTCGCCGAGGTCTGGCAGTTCGGCGGACTAGCGCGTAGTAAAAAGAAATAAGGAGGACTAAATTGATATTTTGGTGAGACCAAATTTGAATTTTGCTGAACCGACCCGCAAACAAAGCCACCCGAACCGACCCGCAAATGCAGAGATGGTTCTCTCACTATAAAAACCCAAAATCGAATTGGGAGAAAGGAAAAAGGAAGGAAAGGAAAACCTTTCGAGAGAGCTCAACAACATTCTGATATTTCCCGTCCTCCAAGCAAGAGCTTCCCTAACTCTCTTTCGTTCTTCCGGATTCCTCGAAGCCCAGCAACCATGCTTACAGGTACGCTTCCCAGCAGAACAAGTCGCAGATTGCAGTCGATTTTGATTAAGAAATTTTGGGGTCCTTTATCCCGTCTCAAACGTTTGGATCATTGCTTAATGCGGCAAGCTATAGTTCGAATCTTCCGGCTGTTGTCTATAAATACGATGAATTGGGTACTAGCTCTGTGCTAGAGGATTTGTTTTTTCTGGTGTCCTTTTCCGTTCCTTCTGCTGGCAGGGTGAGTTTGTTTTCTGGGTTTTGTGTTGCAAGTGTTTAATGGTTGTATTGAATGCACAGTCAGAAACTTTTTTGGAAGCTTTGGGTATTTTATGACCCCCTTGCAGCTAGGAACCTGGTTGTAATGGGAGGTTTAAGTGGTACAACTTCTTGGGAAGGATACAGTCGTTCTTTCGATGCTCTAATAGATAGCCACGTAGGTTAGTTAGGATGCTAGCCCTTGAGTGTTTTTTAATCAGCTTCAAGTTTTCTGGTTCTTGTTCTGTACCTGGATGATGAACTGTAGAGCATCTGAACAAGTTAGTCTTGTTGATTTAAACATAGACAATGTATCAAACACGCAGCAGATGTTTGGAGTTTGAATAAGTTGCAGCGGTTGAGCTTTCAATTTTTCTTGTGAGTTTATTTTTAATTAGTATTATTGCTGTTTGCAGTGAGCGTTAAATGGCAAAAGAAAGTGTTGGAAAAGGTTGAAGTTGATACAACACAACCTCCTTATGTCTTCAAGTGCCAGTTGTTTGATTTGACTGGCGTACCCCCTGAGAGGCAGAAGATTATGGTAAAGGGTGGTTTGTTGAAGGTAAGATTTGATTTATTCGGGTACAGTAGCTAAGCTGTTGTTCTCCTTTGCCCTGGAAATTCTAGTTCGGTATTAACATGGTCTGTATCAATCTATTAATGACAAATGGTTTATTTGATAATCCAGGATGATGCAGATTGGACAGCTATTGGAGTAAAGCAGGTAATGAGGAAGATTTGACTGTAACTATATCCCTTGTTTAATTCTTTTTTCATCGTTTTTTTCGCTTGCATCTGTTTACTTTTCTGGTGGCTTTGAATGTTGATTGTTCTTTGTGTGCAATGCAATAGGGTCAAAGGCTGATGATGATGGGAACTGCGGATGAGATTGTGAAGGCCCCCGAAAAGGGCCCTGTTTTCGTAGAAGATCTTCCAGAAGAAGAACAAGTTGCTGCTGTGGTATTCCCTCTTAACTCTAAAATCCAGTCTTATTGTCTTGCCTTATAACATGATCAGCTGATGGAATCACCTTATATTGTACAGTTATGATTGAAATGCAAGTGCACTGGTCAATCTGAACAGTGGATATAGTTTTCCTCATCATATGGAGGATGAGAAACCTGAAATTATCAGTTACATTGGATGCTGAATTATTTCCTTGAAACACCAGTTAGAACTAGTATGAGACACTGTTGGTGACTTGTTATGGGCATAGATGATGTATTTTCGATAGTTCTTCTTTTCTGGCTTCCATGTCTCGTATGTTACTGTAAAAGTAGCTTCGCTTCAGGTTCTTTCTTATTTCATTGGTTACTAATTTCTGTGCGCAGGGTCATACTGCTGGTTTGCTTAACCTAGGGAATACCTGCTACATGAATTCGACTGTACAATGCTTGCATTCGGTTCCAGAATTGAAGTCTGCTTTACTCAAGTAAGTAGCTTATTATACAAGGTCCTGCAGTTTTGTTCTGTTATATTTTTGCAGTTTGTCGATTGCTGATGATTTGTGCTCTTGTGTCTATTCTTGTTAGATATCCATCTGAAAGAAGAAATGAGGTGGACCAAACATCTCATATGCTGACCGCTGCAACTAGGGAATTATTTAATGAACTTGACAAGAGTGTGAAGGCTGTTGCACCTATGCAATTTTGGATGGTTGGTCTCTTGTACTTTTAAATATGGATATGATTGGTGAAAATGGCTCTTTGTATATCCATTTGGTGGTTATGGTTTTCTGAACTTGACAAGAAAGTGAAGCCTGCTGCAATTATGCAATTTTCTTGAACTTGTTTCCTCTTTGACTATGTCAGCATGACTAGAGGAGTTGTTTCTTGGCATGTTTATTAATGGTGCCATCATTTACCGTCATGCTGTAATATATAGTCTGATACATGCCGTTAACTATCCTTTTCTTTTGCAGGTACTTCGCAAAAAGTATCCACAATTTGGCCAAATGCACAATGGCTATTTCATGCAACAGGTTTTCTATTATCTACTAGTTGATTGCATTAGTCCAATTGATTAAGTTGTAGTGTTAATTTTGAGTAGGTGCTGCTTAATAAACTAAACAGGATGCTGAAGAATGTTGGACACAACTTCTGTACACACTTTCACAGTCTCTCCGGGGATCAAGCAGTGGTACAAGGTATATTTTTGGTTTAAATGAGATAGATTGATGCCAGTCAGCTTTATAATTTGATGTTTTTGACTTCTCCTTTTGAATTATAAATCTGCCAGCAGGCTGTTTGTAAAAAGAAAAAGAATTATAACTGTTTTGCATACCTTTCTTGACTTACACGTACCAGTTAAGCTGGTTTGGTGCTGTAATGTCCAACTTTTACTACAAAACTTATTTTCTTGGTGTAAACGAAACGAAAGTTCTCTTTAACGTTTCTGCAGCGAAAATGCTGATGCGCTGAAGGATGTGTTTGGCATTGAGCTTCTAAGCAGGTAGGTTTTGGTTTATGAGCTTGTATAACGTTGTATCATTATTCTCCTAGTTTAGCAGCTGCCAAATTATTTTGATTCATCTGGTTGTGCTACTGTTGGTAGGGTTCACTGCCAGGAAAGTGGTGAAGAAAGTTCAGAGACAGAATCTGTCTATTCACTAAAATGCCACATATCTCATGAGGTGAACCATATGCACGAAGGACTGAAACATGTGAGTTTTCACCCCTTTAATGGTACTCCATACCACCCTCTCTCCTTCCTCTCTGTGTGCAGTAATTGCTGATTGAATGATTATTTGTTTTGCTTGTAATGATATGTTCAAATGTTAGTTTGTTCCACTGGCAGCTTCATCATCGAACTTCTAATATCTGAGGTAGCCGGATAGTCCAGATAGCCATTCGCTTGTCAGTAAAAATAAGTACGGAGATAGTCCCAGATTGTTGTGCTGGAACACCTTCCGAAAACTTAAAAGATTACACATTCATGTATCCCTATTCTATTTTACCTTTATTTTGATCATGTCTAATGGTTAGCCAAGTACTTCATCGTCTAGTTAGTCTTTGTTTGTACAGTACTCAGTGTACCAGCTTATTCTATTTTGTAATAGTGAGATCAATAACTTGGATATGTAGGGTTTGAAATCGGAATTGGAGAAGGCGTCTCCTGCCTTGGGACGTAGTGCAATTTTCTTGAAAGAATCCCGTATCAATGCGTTACCAAGGTAACCATTTGCTTTGTGTCATCAGTTTCTCTCTTCTTGTTTTCTCTGTAGTTCATTACTGCTGGTTACCTGTGCTTGCTATTATCATTATGTAGGTCCCTTTGAGATTAGCATGATCTGATGATATTGAAAGATGACATTATGTTACTTATCAATATGCAGTTGATAACATTTTTTTGTTTCCTTTGAGGGATAACACATTCAAACAGCCTGTTTAGATGGGTGTTATACTTTCTACTTTCTGCCTTGTCTTTGTTTGCTTGGTTTTTGTTCAATAAGATTTCTCTCATCTTTGCGCTCTCAAGGTACTTAACTGTCCAGTTTGTTCGCTTTTTCTGGAAGAGGGAGTCAAATCAGAAGGCAAAGATTTTGAGGGTAATTTCCTAATTCTCCCCTGTGATGACAGTCCTCACTTAAGCTTGTTGGTTATGTATGTTGAAGAACAAGCAGTTGATAACTTTATGATGACATAAAATGGTCCATTTGCAAGATGGACATCAATGCACGCCCTCTTTTAAAAGTTGAAAATTTAAGCCTATTTTCATAAATCATAATAACATATTCTTTCACTTATATTTGTGTTTCAGAAAGTGGATTATCCGTTGGAGCTGGATGTCTATGACTTGTGTTCAGAAGATCTTCGCAAGAAACTAGAAGCACCACGCAAGGTACCTTTGTTCTTTCTCTTGTTTTCCAGAGTCCAGAGTTTGGTGGTCTGCGTGCTGTAATTTTTAATTTGTTTACTACATTACAACCCTCCAGTTGTTGAGAGATGAAGAAGGCAAAAAGCTCGGTTTAAAGGGAAAGGAGAAGGCTGATTCAAAGGACACTGATGTCAAGATGACTGATGCAGAGGTGAACAAATTTTCTTTTGCATGTACAACTAAACAGCTTTTATGCTACCTGAGGACATGGTTGCTTACCTTCCCCTCCTGTGTGCAGGGATCATCCACTGCAAGTGGTGAATCATCAAAAGCTGCTACCTTGAGTGACGGTAAAGGCCTTCTCAAACTTTCCTGCCATTACTAATCTGTTTTAATATTTGCGTCAATAACATAAACTGTCACTAAACTTGACTGTTGAACAAATGTAATCAGTCATTTTGTCCATCTTAGTAAGGTTTTCCAGATCATTAACATTACTTGATCCAACCAAACATGTTACACAATCCAAATCCACTTGACAATTCAAACCACATATCTGAGTGATTGGGATTAGGTGAAGGACTTTTATGTTAGTTATATCACAAATTCAGTGACATGTTTGTTAAAAGGCAAAGCTTAATGACCAGTATTTTAGTGAACCCCCAAAGTTAGTGACTATGTGGTAAAATGACCATCTTATTGGGACAATCCTTAACTTGTGATTGATTTAAGCCTGAATTTGAACGTGCTCCAGGTGCCCCATCAGACAAAGAAGCACAGCTTACCGGAGTGTATGAGTTGGTTTCGGTCCTCACCCACAAGGGAAGAAGTGCCGACTCGGGCCACTATGTCGCCTGGGTCAAGCAGGAAAACGGTAACTTTAACTTGTCGCCCTATTTCATTGTCCTACTCTTACACGACATGTTAGTTCTGTGCTCTCTCATCTATGAGGTCTCTGGGTTATCCCCTGCAGGAAAATGGATCGAGTTCGATGATGATAGTCCCATACCACAGAGAGAAGAAGATATAGTGAAGCTCTCTGGAGGAGGTACTTAATCAAGTTCTCATCCTTTGATTCCCTCAATCCACAGCTTGATTACTCGGTAAACATGTCTAATCGAACCGGATGCTGTTTGTTTCTTGGTTCAGGTGATTGGCATATGGCGTACATTTGCATGTACAAGGCCCGCACGGTACCCATGTAGTAGTAATTTGGGTGTGATTCTTCTTTTAGTAAGAACAGAAACACGAGAAGCCTCTTGCCACAGAGCATTCTCTACAGATTTGTGAATGTTGATTATGTTTTAGAGGTTGAATTCTTGCCACCAGTTCTGCTATCTTCTCGGATTTTTGTCTTCCTTTAGTTTCTCATTTGCAGTTACATTATGATTGTGGATTGAGATGGATATATGTAATTGGGTTCCTTGGGGCATTTGAGCTGCAAGGTTTAGAACTTTCCCTTCCCGCGTTATGCTTTTTGAGCTGCATGGTTCCCCGTTATTAACATTCATAAGACCAAAAATAAAAGGACTTCATTTTTTTGACCAAACTCGTAGATTCTTAGTTTTTTATTTTTCCCCTTATACTATTTAGGGTTGGCTATTTTGTCTTTACTGTTTTGTTTTACCCGAAATCAGACCGTATAACCTAGTTCAGGACCAGACTGGGACCGAATAGCAAACAATCAAATCTCATATTCGGGTTTAGATTTGAGGTAAAAAAAAACCGAATAAAGACCGGATAAGAGATATCAACACTCAAATCCCCACAAGTTTAATCTAAAATCAAGATCAAATTGAGACCGGACCGGGTCAAAATTGGACTGTATTCAATCCAATTTTTGGTCCTTATATTTTCAAAAAGAACGGACTAAGATTGAATCAATTTGGTCCAATTTAACCGGACCGGACCATATAGCCACCCCTAATACTATTATATACAAATAGGTGATGAGATGCATGGTAGCATGCTTGTTGATTCTTATTCTATGAATCTCTCTAAGGTTTTCAACATACCCGAGAAATCAAGAGAACCATTCTGCACAAAGTATAAATAGGCAGGGCAACAACTGACTTGCTTGTAAGTTGTATTCAGTATTCACCAACATAAAATAAGAAACTGTACTAGTACACGTCAGTGAGTCAAATCAATCTTTCATTGAAACCAATTTCCTCATGACTTTTACTATATGGAGAAAGTTATCTGCTAACTTGAAGATTCGTTAGCATATACTAATTGATATTCAAAATACATGAACTAGTATCCAAGTACTGAAATATCTAGAGAGCACATGCTAGTATTCAAATTTTGCTAACTGATATCCACCATGAATAAACTATTATCCCAAATTCACAAACTAATATCTAGACAACACATAATAGTATCCATACAACACATAATTAGTATCCAGATAACACATAAGAGTATTCATATTGAATACTAGTTGGTTGATTTTGGATATTAGTTGGTATCTACTATCTAGATACTAGTTTATGATGCTTTGAGTACTAATCTGTGCTATCTAAATACTCAGCAGACTTGAATATTCGTTCATACATTTTAGATATTAGTTAGTATATACTAACGAATTTTCAAATTAGTAGAATAAGTAGGCTGGAACGAGATTGCCTCATTCAACTTTGTCATAAGCTTTCGCTATATTCAACTTAACAGCAAAAAGCCCCTTTTTATTATTGCCACTTCTTCGCATGATTGAAGCACTTGAAGTCTTGAACGCTGCAATAATGTTGTAAGTGATAACACTTTTCTCGAGCACTTTGGTTTTTTCGAAAATCATGCATGTTCTCGAATGTTCAGAATTTGTTTGTAAAGCACAATATAGAAACATATTAGTCTAAATTTCTTTGGTTCCGTCGAAACTTTCAATTTAGGAATGAGAGAAACTGAGTATGGTTGTCGAGATAAAAATATTCAAACTCGATAAATCTGTAAAGTTGTCCACAACCCTAGGGCTAAAAGGACAAAATGCCCTTTTAGCAATGTTGTCAGAACCGAATCGGAGTATGACCCGATAATGTCAACGGCTCGCACTTTAGTGGTCCAACAGGCATTAGACCGTTTAAAAACTGTTAGAGAACTGGTACCTAATAAACGTTATCAGTATAAATAGTGGACATTTTTTAATCAGAGCTTGTCTCTTTTCTTCGAAATTGTGAAATGGAAATAAGGATTCAGTTTGAGAGCCCGACGTTTTTTGTTTATTTCAATTTTCAATTTTCTGCAATTTTTTTAATTAAATTTAACTGTTGAATGGCAAAAACCGGACGAGCGGCTCGATCGGCTTGAACGGTTAACCGCCTCGGTCGCTCGTCAACCGCTACATAAAATCGGAGCGGCTTTTAGGCTGTTCCGAGCAGATTTTGTGACTGGGTGACGGTATTACCTGTCGGGCCGAGCGGCTCGGCTCGACTTTAATAACACTGTCTTTTAGTCCCAATAAATCATTTTCAACCATAGGATAAATTTGGGGGGTAATAGGCTATAAGGGGTTTTAGTGGACTATTTTAGCTCTTCTTTGGGTGGGTTCTAAGAGGGGGCTAAAATGGTGGAGATTATTTTAGCTTTTATTTGTTTTAGTACTTAAATTGAATATACTTGTGTTGTTGTGAGTGCTTTTAACTAACGAAATTCATTTCGTCGTAACTTTCAACCGTTCGATTGCTATTTGAAAATAAAAAAAATATTTAAAATTGGAACTTTTTCCATTTCAACTAAAAAAATGTATCTCCGAAATTGTTCAAAATCTTGGTAACTTTGATGAACGAAGTTCATTTTGTTGTAACTTTCTTCCATTTCAACTAAAAACAAAGTATCTCAGAATTTGCTCAAATTTCATCGGAATGTTCGTATTCAATTATCGTGAAGGAATATATAAGTTTTAAATTAAAAAACATAAATTTAACTATTCATAAGTTATGATTACTAAATACGAAACATAAATTTTTAGCATCAGGGTTGCATCTACTTCTATTTTCGAGGGGGCTAAAAGGCTAAAATAGTCTTAAAACCCCCTAATTTTTGTCTCTCGAGTTGTGATTAGCCTAACTACTCCAGTGGATATGGGATCTATAGAATTCCAATTTTAAAAAATATCTCACTGAAAATCCATCATATTTCGAGGCTTTAGTAGTGTGGCCCATATGCACATAAAACAACTTGTGTACAAAATGAAACACTCTCAGATAAACCCAAAAGCCCAAACACACAGTCATCAGAAATGAGGAAACAAGCTGGCTGCAGCCACAAACGCTACAAGAACATTGACAACAGACTCCCTTCTGCCGCCATGGACGAACCCTGAAGAAGGCAAGTTGCTCTTGGAAGAAGGGTTGGAATCCCCTGGCTGTGCCTCCGGCGAACCAACCGGCGACTCTGCATTCCCCACCACGTTCACCTGAAGCTTCATCCCTCCAAGGCAGTACAGCCTGTTGCCGCAGACGAAGTACCACGGTCCAGGCCTGTCCAATTCCACCGTCGTGTTGCCGTTGTTGAACGTCCTCATGGCGTCGGTCGTGTTGCAGCTGTCGAAAGCCGGTTTGTTCACTTCTTCCACGGTGTCAGAGGATCTATACTGAAACACTGCAATGATAGTGGGGGCAAAAGCAAACTGAGTGTGAGGAGTTTGTAACAATTGAGGAGTGCTCAAAACATATGTAATCGTTTGGATACATCATTTTGGTTAGGTTGTATTTTGAATTAAAATGTTGTATTATTTTGTTGTGTAACATAATGGTATTTCAATTTAGAATGTGATAATGGGTCTAATTTTGGATAAATATTCATATATTGTGGTATTTCACCACTTAGGGAAGGAATTGAGTGAAAAAAGAGGTTAGGAGATGAGTTATTCTAAATAACGGATGGGTAGGTATGTCAAATAACTAGGGATGGAAAAACCGTACCGGAGGTTGAACCGAAAAAATTAGTAGTAGGATATTTTATACTGAAACCGTGACTCAACTGTTTTATACCGCTAAATACCGTTTTTCAATCCTTGCAAATAACTCATCATGAGTTTTTTCAATCCTTTCAAATAACTCATCATGAGTTCTTTCAATTGTTTCATGAACAAAATACCACAATCAATTTGGTTATGTTGTATTTTGAATCAAAATGCTGCATTATTTTGTTATGTAACATGATGGTATTTCAATTTAGAATGTGATATTGGGGTCTAATTTTGGATAAAATATTCATATATTTGTGGTATTTCACCACTTAGAGAAGGAATTGAGTGAAAAAAGAGGTTAGGAGATGAGTTATTCGAAATAACGGTTGGGTAGGTATGTCAAATAATTAGGGATGGAAAAACCGTACCGGAGGTTGAACCGAAAAAATTAGTAGTAGAATATTTTATGCTGAAATCGTGGCTCAACTGTTTTATACCGCTAAATACGGCCTATCGGTACGGTTTTTCAATCCTTACAAATAACTCATCATGAGTTATTTCAATTGTTTCATGAACAAAATACCACAATCAGTTTAATTTTTGCCAAACAAATTATTTCGGCTGAAATAACTAATCGAATTATCTCATCCAAACTACTGGCTAAAATCACCAATTGGATGTGAAATGAATGCAGAGCAAGAGATTTAGAGGGGTTCTTTATCAAAGCAAGAGGGCTTACAGAGAGAATCTCCAACGTTGAAAGTCTTGTCCTGAGTCCAAGTGTCGAGATCGGTGCTTATGTCCCAGCCGGAGTTGTCTCCAACCATGTAAGTGGTGGCCGCCGAGGTGGAGACAGCTGAGCAGAGAACAAGGGTGGCGGCGGCGGCGAGGAGATACGTGCAGAACAGCTTCCGATCAGCCATTTCGAATGATGATGATGGTGGTCTTTTGAGAGTTGAAAGAAAATTTCAACACACAAGAGCTGGGAAATGGTTTTTGCCGTTTTGGGATGGGTTTGATATATATATATATATACGCGAAATGGAGCTTTGATTCATATATATCGGAATTAGATCACCTAACTGAACTATTGCAAATTTGCGTGACCTTGTGGATTTGATATGTCGTTGTGAATTGTGATATCAATTTTTGGGTCAATTACAAAAATGGCAACTGGACTTTCGGGTCAATAATAAATTCAGTTACCAAAGTTTTGATTCTCAACGAATCTGCCACTAAAGTTTGAAATGAGTAACATCCTATGTCTGGAGGTTTTTTTTTTGTTTTGTTTATAGAATGTCTGGAGGTTTCAATGTCGAATAAGAAATACCAGGTATCAGATACGGATTGGTAGGTAGTTCTAGCGGTAGAAAACAATTTAATCACAATTTTAGTACAAAATATCCTACCAATGACTATTCAAGATACAATTTCACAATCCTTACATTTTACACATTTGCATAGAACTCAATAAGCTAATATGTACAAGCTTTTTAATCCATATGCAAGCATTAAATCACTCGATCTCCCAATATTACCTAAAGTGAAAAATGACTATGATATGAACCCTTCAATTTTTCTATGTACTATTCCAGGAGAAAGAACTTGATCAATGACCAATTATGTAATTGACCAATTAATTGGTGGAAACCGTTGAAGCAGGAAGGTGTTGGTTGGAGGGAGTTTACCCTCCTTAGGACTTCGCGGCTTTCTTAGCCTGTAATTGTGTAGCCTAAAACATTATAAGAACATGAAGATGTTACTTTGTAGCAAGGACAACGTACACACAATAGACCTTGGAAGAAAAATGGCGAATATGACCGACTTTGTAACATATGAAACTATAAAAAGAGTAGCAGGTAAAATATTCTCAAAACAGATAACGACATAGCAACTCTCATCCAAGCTAATCAAGTTTTAATCCACAGCTAAAGTTTACCCAGCACCAGGAACGATTTAGATAGAGAGATAGCCACACCTAGACGTCTACCCTTAAAACTTCAAAATACTCTTTAAGCAGCAGCTTGGGCTGCAGCCGCCCTCTTCCTGGCTTCCTCGATGATTGTCAGCTTGATTCCCTTGCCTTTGGGAAGGGACACCCAAGGCTTGGTTCCCTTACCGATCATAAACACGTTGCCCAAGCGAGTAGCAAACTCGTGTCCCATCGAGTCCTGGATATGGACGGTTTCAAAGCTACCCTTATGTTTCTCACGGTTCTTGATGATACCCACACGCCCTCTGTTCCTTCCTCCGGTGACCATGACGACGTTGCCAACATCAAATTTGATGAAATCCACGATTTTGCTGCTCTCCAGATCGAGCTTGATGGTGTCGTTCGGCTTGATGAGCGGATCAGGGTAGCGGATGGTTCGCCCATCAAAGGTGTTCAGGTAGGGGATTCCTTTCTGCCCAAACTGAATAGTTCTCACCTTGCAGAGCTTGAACTGCACAGCAACAAAAGAAAGAAAACAAATGTCAGGCAATTTCATCGCATGCTATAATCACTAGAAACAAAGGTGCAGATACTGTGTATGTACAATTAACCTTTGACTCCTCGTCCCGGATGGAGTGAAGACGGAAGCGACCCTTAGTGTCATAAAGCAATCGGAAGTTCTCATTGGTCTTGGGGATCGAAACAACATCTGGTTTAATCAAACGAAATTCAGGGACACAATGTCAGTTAAACATGTACCAGCAAAATCATGAAAGAGAAGTGGCTGGCAGAAAAGAACATATAGCAGGAGATGAGGGGATACAGAGGAAATATAGCTTTTCAAGGCAAACTAATCCGTAGCAACTGGAAGTAATATTATGTTCAATGTGCCCATAATCATAGAAGGGATTAAAAGAGTACCATGCGCATGAACTTTCAATATCACCATACTAATCACATATATCTACTAATACAAAAACAGCAATTATAAGTACCAGTTATCCATTAATATAGTCAGCACAAGGAGCCTAGAAAAGGAAAACAGAAGGTTATGACTGTTCAATACCTACAAGAGGGAATATAACCTAAAACCTACAATAAGAAGTGCTTCACAAGCACAATCAGAAGCAAGCAAGCAAGCTCTCCCAGTGACACTGAGAATTGGGACGGATTCCTGATTGCAAGTGCATTCCTCACTAGTGATTTCAATCAGATGCATAATACAACAGAATTTCTTCAGAAATATTCCCATCAGTTCCAATTTAGTGCCAATTCCCTAGAAAGAAGTCTTAACTTCTCTTTCAAAGCATCTTTACTTCCAATTGTTGACAAATTGCTATTACCAGTTAAAGAAGAACATAATGAACAGCAACGGACCGTACTATTTCCACTATCTTATTTTTTGTTATAAATACTATTTCCACTAACTAGCTGGCTCGTATCTACAATTATAACTAAAAGCTCTTCTGAATTCCGACTACATCCAACCAACACTATAACTGGAGTTAGATCTCTTCACACATTCATGGTACAACAGAACCTATTCACAAGTGTTTCTATCACTGCCAATTCTAAACGCCAATTTGAAATAAGTCTATACTTCTCTTTACAATCATCCCCATTCCATAAACAATCAAGCAAGGCCCTTTTAAGCAGCAAAAGAACCAACAGCGGATTTCAACCACAGTATAGAAGAAACGTTTCAGTTGAGACATGAACTGAGACATACCCATAAAACCAGCAGGGAAAGTCTTGTCAGTCCGAACTTTGTGATCCACCATAACATGACGCTGCATCAGAATAGCCTTCACCTCACTGCCAGTAAGTGCATACTTAAGACGATTTCGGAGAATCAGAACCAGCGGCAGGCACTCCCTCGACTTGTGAGGTCCAGACGACGGCTTCGGAGCCTAATCAATGGAGGAACCCCGATGAAAAATCATCAAATCACCGAAAGAGGTTCAAAACAAAGAAGAAACCAAGAAGAAGGAAAGAGGGAACCATACAAAAGCGCCGCCAAGCTTGTCGAGCATCCAATGCTTGGGAGCATTGAGCCTCTTCAAATGCTTCTTCAGTCCTCGAGCCTGTCACGTTTTCGCCAATACAAACACCATTAGGTTAAACCATAGCGCAATCGAAGATAGAAATCATAGAACGAAATGAGGAAGATGTAGCGCTCACCATGGTGGAAGTTCGACCAGACGACGGCGGCTGGCAGAGATTTAGTGTATGGGGGTTTGCTTTCTGATCCTTAGCTCCAGCGGAAGACGATGGAGGTGGGAAAGAAAAAAACCCTACTGCTCTGCTCTTAGTCTTAGGGTTTTATATTAGTTTATATTTATTTACGCCACAAAATTCACGGGAGAACGAAACATGCTGGGCCAAGCCCATCGTTCTTCATCGGAAGCCAACTAAAAGCCATCATCATCTTGGGCCAAGCCCATTCTCCTGCATGGCCACTTGCCCGTGGACTTCATGGCAATTTTAATCTTTTATCAATAAAAATAGGTTTTCTTCGACTCTTTCCTTTTTGAATTTGGTTCTAAGCATTACTATGCAACTCGAACTCGGATTCTTTGATTTGGGGACGAAGTAAAAAGCTTCTATGGGGATTAGATCAGCGGCGGTCAGAGCCACGATTGATCTGTTCATGGGTCTGGGTGGTTTGGCCTTCTAGTAACATCTCCAATGAATTTGGTCGCACTTGATGAGTTTGTGGCGATAGCGGCCCGACAACGGTTAGATCCGTCGTAGGTTCTTTCCTTCGTTTCGGCTGAAACTTTGAGTGTGATTCTCACAACCAAAACCATGACAATTTAAATAGTCGTGAGAATTAACCAAAAACTCACCGTTTTTGTGTCGAACTCACGATTTCATTCGATCTCAAGGCCTGACTGTGACTTTACACCGAAATCTTGAGAACCACCATCGGGCGAGTATGCAAGGCCTTGAACATCTCACGGTCGTGACATCATCCAGCCGACATAATTCTCTAGATCTTCAGCAGAAAACTTCCCCTTCGACGATTTTATAGACTTTCAGTTGTCCAACTCTACAACCACAAACCCAGTCTTTTCTCATCTAGGCGCCCGTTCGCCAGAACATTGGTGGCGATCGACGTACTCTTTTCTTCAGCGGCGAGGCTCTAGCAAGACTCCTGCGACCCCCCTCTGGTAAACTTTTTGGTCGATTTTCAACTCCCTCACCTTATTCTCACCTTCCCCTATGCCCCAACCAATGCATTCAAACTCTAGATTCTAGGTAAAAGTGAAAGAGAAAACCTTACGCTTTTACACATCCTATAATTTGATAGAATATTCTAACCATAACTTGTATTCTGCAAAATATGAAAAAAATAAGTGAACCTACTCATATTTAACAAATTATTCTAACACACATAAACTAAATTAATAGGATTTGAAACAAGCATTCACCACCTTCCCTACTTTCTGAAAAAATATAAGAAGAGAAAACCAAACAACAAATGATGAAGCTGGAAGGGCTATCGGCAAACTTCACCAACAAGTGAAAGTGGCGGCAAATGAGAGGCTGAAGGAGATGAGCTTCAATGATAACATAGTCATAGGGGTGGGGTGAGAGTTGCAGGGATGGGTACGTTGATGCATTGAGTGACGATAACCAAGTTGTAGCAGCAATGGGAGCCATTTGAGAGGAAGTTGGACGCACGTGGCAGGAAACTGAGGGAAAAGGCGCTGGAAAATGGATTTTGGATGTGGCATGTGCTGGTTTTGGAGGTAGAGAAAAGACGAGAATGGAGTAGAAGTGGCAAAGAATTAGGGATGTGGAATTTGTACAAGCAAAGACTGAAATATATTCCTACTAGAAAACAAATAAAACTACATAATTTTTCTCTTTTGGGCAAATGATTGAACCAAACACGACCCAATATGGTCCTCATACTCGGATATTAAAAGCGAAGAAAAGCGATTTGAAAGCTAGCTGTTAAGGATTTTACTATCTTTGAAGGCTTTTACTTGGGATTTTGGTGCAAAAAAGCTTTTTGAACAAAAGTTACAATATATGGGAGTTTCAAAGCGTAAAAATATAGACTTTTAGGCTTTAAATCCAGCTTTTGACTACATTGGTCCCTACTTGAGTCTCTATGGATGTCTTTTACTTTGTCCTTGTCAGTTTGGGAAAATTCTAGGGTTATTGGGTGAGGAGAATTGATACTTTTGCATGTAATGATCAAATTAGGCGACAAATGAGTTAATTGATGAATGATTGCATGTATTAAAGTGTATGATGGCGTATTTATGCCTGATATGATTGTTTGTTTGAATTGAGATGGCCATCAAGTGTTATAAAATGTCTAGTCTCATACTCTTTTGGAATTGAAACCAACTCAATCTATTGAACACCTAAGTTTCATGCCCCGATTTTCTTGTCCGTTGTTTGAGCTTAACTGATGGAAATCTGGCCTTGTGAAAACCATGGTTTAGGAAATCGTACCGGAGATCATATCGGACAAGTTTATGGTAAGGTCTTTTGTGATACGATCGTGGTTCAACCGTTTCATATCGGTAAAATACCGTTTTGTAATAAAAAATAAATATTTTCATTAAAATACCGTACCAAAGTAATGCCCGAACTATACTGGAATACTACTAGAAAACAAATAATTAAATAGTAAATAATCACAGAATAAAAAATAAACCAACCGTGAATTGGACAATTATCATACAACATCTAACTAATTACATCATCATGCAAATTTTTTTTTTTTGTTGAATCATCATGCAATTTTATTTTTATAACTAAATCCATAACTTAATAATTCATTCACGTTTAACTCAGTCGAGAATAATTTGTTGACATATCAAAAAGAATAAAAAAAATAGTTAGATGAAAATGTTACCATGACAAGTAGCATTGTCTTAGTTGGTTGCGAATATTGACCAGGTTTGAGGTTTCGAGTGAATCCAATTTTAGTTTTTCGTTTTTTAGCTGACTCAATAAAGGGTCATTGTAGTATTTTTACAAAATCACGGTGGTAAGGGGTAATTATGATAGAAACAAGTAGGTCATTTGGTTATTTTTGAAAATACAATATAAGGAAGACCACTTCTACTATGCTATATAGCATTGGTGCTTTAATGTACAACTCAAAGTTGTACCATAACATTAAATGTATAAGTTTAGGTTGTACCATAAAGCAATTTGTACCATTATGTTATGGTACAACTTTACAACTTGAAATTGTACCATCACATAAAGGTACAAGTTCAAGTTGTACCATAAAAGAATTTGTACAAAAAGTATAGGTATAATCTGAAGTTGTACCATAACGTAAATGTACAATTTTAAGTTGTACCATAAAGACAAAAACCTATAGCACCAATACTATATAGTATTGTAAAATTTCTCTATAAGGATAGTGTGAGAGGGAAAGCAAGCAATGAACCCTAGGCGCCTCTTCACCTCGTTCGCTCCTTCCTCTCTCATTTGGCAATAAATAAACAATATACCAAGAAAGAAAACCCCAGACCAAGTCCCAACCTTACATCCTCTATCTGTTTTTTTTTTTTTGCATATCTATAAAAAACAACAGAGGAAGAACAAAACCTTCTTCTTCTTCTCCTTCCTCGCTCGATTTACTCCTCCCTGTTCTGCCTCTTCTCTCGATTTACTCCTCCAACTGTCTTACACCATCGATGAGAAATAGAACCAGGCCCACCAAATCGACCACAAAAAGCATCGATCTAGGTTCATCTCCTCTTTCTTCGTTGCTTCATTCCTTCCTCCATGTTATTTTGTCGATTTACTCGTTCCTCTGTCTCCAAGAAATCGAATCAGGCCTCTTTGGGCAAAGGACAATACCGCATCGTTTCGGAACTAGTTATATTTTTTTCCAGTATGCTTCACTAACCGGACATACCAAAATCGACGGCTATTTCACAGTTTGACATAAAAAAATCGATCGGTGTGGAATTTTGGGGACTGTGACTCCACCGTTCCAGCCAGTCTCCGATTTCTTGTATACCCGATCCGACCGGCCGGCATAGCACGTGTAACATCCCGTTCCGACAAATCCCATATTTAGATCGCTAGAAAGTTCGCGATTTAAAATCGAGCATTTTGATAGTATTTCGACGAAAATCGGATTATCGATCGATCGGATAAGTATACGTATTAATTATATAATCAATATAAAAAAAAACAATTAGCGGTCGTGACCGCACATATATTCTCCCCGTGTCCATTTATTTTTCCCCATCATGCGTTTGCATTTCCATTTTCTCCAAACCAGAGCGAGCAGAGCAGGAACAGGGGAGCTCGGCAAAAATTCCAAAGCTCAAATTCTTGAGCCCTAGTGATCCAAAAATCCCGTAAGTAATGCCTAATTCATCTATACATCGTGATTATCGATTTAGAGCTTTAAAACGAGTTTTTGGTTTAGGAATTTCTTGAATTCCCGATAAGTCAAATTAGGGTTTCGGAGTGTCCGGAAGCCGGATTGAGCCCAAATTTCATATACGAGCTTCCTACAGCGAGGTAATCAATCCTCTAGTTTTAATCCATGAATTTTGGCTATTATTTAGGTCCGAGCCGGGATCGCTGAAGAGGTGTTTTTATCAAGAATTTGACCCGGAGCCTAGAACTAATATTGACGGGGATACTGCAAGGGATATTAGGACGGTCTCGAATTTTAATTTGGGGTTCGTTCGTGAAATTGACATTTTAGTACGGGAGACAAAAACCGGTGTTTGAACGACTAGAACTGGGGAGGGATTAGCACGACATACCGGGTTTGTCGTATCACGATAATTATATTAATGCTTAGAATTGACCAAGGTGAACTAGAATGACATGATTAGGGATGTATGAACTTTTGTGCTATATGTTGAATCCTGAACTGCTGTATGATATTATTGACTTGCCTTAATCGATATGGACCGTGTTTATGTTGATGATTGCATACATGTTGCCATTTGTGGCTTAACTGTTAATATGACTTCATGGTTGTTCGATCAGGTGTTTTGACATGATGTGATATTGTGGTTGTATTTGGATTTACAATTGGAGGAAATAAACTTCCCAGGGTGATATTTTGATGTTTAAGGAGGATGACTTGCACGAGGGTTTATCCCGAGGAAGTGCAATTATACGACTCCTGGTTATGTTGAGCCAATTGTGGCCAGGCCAAGAACATGTCTAAGTAATGAATTATGATTAAGCAAGATGAGATATGGATCATGTATAAGGATACCAAGTAAGAGTACTTTGGTCTCATGGTCAATTACATAGCAATTAGGGCTCCCCATGCTATTACTCCGTTATGATATGTTATGTCATACCCCTGATGTGGTGTTGCCGTTGATTCATCATGAGATATGACCACATCCAGAGTGGTGTCAGGTCCGATATGACTACACTGGCAGTAGTGGGTTCGATATGACCACATCCACGAGATGTTTGGTCCGTATTCCCGGGAGAGTAATCATGGGAGTAGCCAGGCGCCTATGATTAAAACATGATAAGATGAATATGCATAAGTCAAGGTGGTTGAGTCTTTTGCCTATCGGTATGTCGGATGGCTGAGGTCTCATCCTAGTGTTTTGCCTTGATTGTTAGATGTATGGTAGGGGTATGCTTTGTTATGAACTCACGATGCTATGATTATCTCACTCAACTATGAGTTGATCCTCTTTTATTCTTCTTCTCTGCTTATGCTATGTGTAAGCAGATCATCAGCAGCAGCAGTAGATAAGTGTTAGGTGGGAGAGGAGCTAGAGTTGAAGGCAAGATGTGGTATGGTCTTCAACTATTTTGTGCTTGGATTACTACCCGGGATTTTGGCCAGTGATCCACACCTTTTTGTAAAAATGTTTTGAGAACGTTTTTCATGTGCATACTATCTTCTGATGTAGTGTGAGATATCCACAGGTGTTGAAAGTTGATGATATGTGTATATTGTGTATTATGTAAGTTGTGATGATTACAACATGTATCAGTATCATGCTGGTGGCATGCCACCCGCATGAACCTGGTTCAACCTGTGCCGGTCATGAAATCGACATGACACCACCGGTATGACCGGTACGATCGACTTACACATTCTAAGTTTAATGACATCATTTTAATCAATTTAATAAATAAAAAAGTTAATTTATTAGTCATTTTATGAGTATAATAATTAAAAGATGATGATATTTGTTGGATTGTAACTAAATTGTCCACAATTATGTTTTATATATGATTAAATACATTGGATATTAATTATTTTCATATTTTTTTAAACCAGCATGAACCGGCACAAACTGGTTATATCACCGGTTGCACCATTCCACTTGCCAAACCGGCACAACGGTATAAACCGGTTTGACAACCTTGATCAGTATAGTATGCAGTTGTGTAGTATGAAACTGTGACTTTGGCTTTGAAAAGCCAATGCATATGGTTGTGAGTATATATATTTGTCTATGAATGTATGGATTCAAATGAATTATTTTGCAGGATTACATGGAAGACCTATTAGCCCATTACGCGAGTAATCCATGTCGAAATTTTATTTGGGTAAATTTTGATAATTAATGTAACACCCGAGATTAATTCCGCTGCAATTGTATGAACAATATGATTAGGCAATATGTACAGGGTAGGGTGTTACAGTTTGGTATCAGAGCATGGTTCCCTCTTTTTGCTGTTATGGCGTACTATACCCTATGGGAGGTTCAACACTCCTAAGGAGGGGAGTACCCCATAATGACTTAAACTGGGAATTGAGTTTGACATGATTATGTGTATTAGTATGTTGGATGAAATTATCTGCATCATGGTTTTCAAAATTGAGTCTTGAACTTCTATGTTTTCAAGTAATTATTTTGGGAAAATTTTGTTTTAACCAAGTGAGAGAGTGGGTGAAGAATGAATTTTGTGTGGATCAATCTAAGGCCAATATTTCCTTGTAGCTCGCACGGAAGTTGTGAAAATGTTCCTACTGACCAGTCGAGAGGAGTGGGGGCGGTTGATGCAAGACCGCCAGTATTAGACTATGCAAAGATGAAAAGTTTGGGTGGTAGGGACTTCAAGGGAGATGTGAGCCCAGATGCTGTAGTAGAGTGGTTGAGAGAGATGGAAGATGTGTTTGAGTATCTTTATGCAACCCCAGAGGAAAAAGTGCAATATGTTGTTTTTCTCCTAAAGGGGTACGCGAGGAGCTGGTGGTCCTCAGTCTCTAGAGTTAATGGTGAACGAGTTCAGTTCACCTGGGAGGAGTTTCTGAAGGCCTTTAAGACAAATTTTCTTCCCGAATTATAAGGGCAAAGAACAATGAATTCGCCAACCTTAAGAAGGAGAATATGACAGTTACTGAGTACACCATCAAGTTTGTTCAACTACTTACTTTGAAGATGGGTTGGCAGATACTGAGCATTAGAAGAAGATGAGATACTTGCATGGTCTGCGCCTAGGATTGAAAGAAAAGATCCACAGGGTTGATGACGAGAGTATGGCCACTATCAAGGAGGCAACACTTAAGTATGAAGCCTATGAAGTTGAGGGTAGAGAGGAACACAAGGCCAAAGAAGAGGAGAAGAAGAGGAAGTTTGGAGTGAGTTATTCTGGACCTCGTTACCCATCCAAGAGAGGTCCCAGCGGTTTTGGGAGAACACCGAGTCAATCTATGTTAGTAACATCATACAAGGCACCAGTTTCCTCAGCCACACCGGCTCCAGTTTGTCAAGTTTGTCAGAAGAGACACTTTGGAGAGTGTTGGAGGTTTTCTTGAGTATGCTTTCAATGCGGCCAGCCGGGTCACATCATGAGGAACTGTCCTTATAGGGGAGGAGGAAGACCTACTCACTCCGAACCTTCAGTGCACTTTAGTAGAGCCACAACCACAGGTGGTTACCAGGGAAGCCGTAGTGGATTTCAGAGTGGTCGTGGTGGTTCACAGGGTGGTAGAGGTGGTGATCGAAATCAGCCATCAGGAAGTGGTACGCAGGGTACCATAGTACAAGGAGCACCGAGGGTTTATGCAATGACTCGAGGTGAGGCAGAAGTGGCACCAGAAGTTGTGACTGGTATGCTTTCTATCCTTGGCAAGCAATTATATGCTTTGATCGATACTGGTTCCTCTCACTCATTCATGTCATATACGTTTTCACATATGGTACGCTTAGTTCCAGATAAGCTAGGTTATACCTTATGTGTTAAAACACCTGTGGGAGATACGTTGAAGGTAGATTCAGTTATTAGAAGTTCCTTCATTTGTGCGGAAGGAGCTTTCCTAGCAGCAGATTTAACTCTGCTACCTTTTGATGAATTCGATGTCATCCTTGGGATGGACTTTCTGGCAACACATGGAGCTGTTGTGGATTGTCAAAAGAAAGAAGTATTATTCAACTCACCAGATAAAGGTCTTGTTGTATTCCGAGGCATCAAGAAAAAGGAGACTCATGGTTTTCTTTCTGTCTTGGAAGCTTTTTGATTAGTGAAGGAAGGTTGTGAAGCCTTTCTTGCTCAAGTTACTGTAATAAATGATAAAAAGGTTGAGGATGTAGAGGTGGTAAGGGAGTATTTCCTGATGTATTCCCCGAAAAACTTCCTGGCCTTCCACCAGAAAGGGAAGTAGAGTTTGATATTGAATTGGTACCTGGCACAACACCAATTTCAATGGCACCATATAAAATAGCACCAATTGAGCTGAAGGAGCTTAAAGAACAATTGCAAGAATTTCTAGACAAGGGGTTTATTCGACCTAGCATCTCACCTTGGGGTGCACCGGTTTTGTTTGTCAAGAAGAAAGATGACTCCATGAGAATGTGCATTGACTACCGGAGGTTGAATAAGGCGATAGTGAATAATCGTTATCCCCTTCCAAGAATAGATGATTTGTTTGATCAATTGCAGGGTGCATCATTCTTTTCTAAGAATGATATGAGGTCTGGATACCATTAACTGAAAGTGGCAGATGGAGCGACCTCAAAGACAGCTTTTAGAACAAGATATGGGCATTATGAGTTCCCGATAATGCCTTTTGGACTCACTAATGCACCAGCGGTATTTATGGCTCCTATGAACAGAGTTTTCCATGAATATCTTGATAAGTTTGTGATTGTGTTCATAGACGATATTCTCATCTATTCTAAAAGCGAAGAGGAGCACAAAAATCACCTTAGAATTGCATTGCAAATTCTAAGGGAGAAACAATCATATGCCAAATTCTCAAAATGTGAGTTTTGGCTGAAGGAGGTAATATTTCTGGGACATGTAATTTCTGGAAGAGGTGTCGAGGTGGATCCAAAAAAGGTGGAAGCAGTGGTGAGTTGGGCTCCACCAAAAGATGTGTCGGAGTTGAGAAGTTTTCTGGGCATGGCGGGTTACTATCGGCGGTTCGTAGAAGGATTTTCTAAAATTGCTGCACCATTGACTAAACTGTTGAGGAAGAATACCAAGTATGTTTGGGATGAATCATGTCAAAAGAGTTTTGATGATCTGAAGAAGAAATTAACCACAGCACCAGTACTGGCTTTACCTTCAAACCATGGAGAGTTTGTGGTGTATAGTGATGCCTCATATCAAGGACTGGGTTGTGTGCTAATGCAAGATGGAAGAGTTATCGCATATGCCTCTAGGAAATTGCGTCCTCATGAAGTAAATTATCCCACTCATGACTTAGAATTAGCAGCGGTGGTATTTGCTCTCAAGATTTGGCGACATTATTTGTATGGTGAGACTTTTAAAATCCTAACTGATCACAAAAGCTTGAAGTATATTATGGATTAGAAGGATTTAAATAGTCGCTAAAGGAGATGGATAGAGTTGTTGAAAGATTATGATTGTACCATTGATTACCATCCAGGTAAAGCTAATGTAGTTGCAGATGCTCTGAGCAGAAAAGGCAAGAAGAATATAACGGATCTGGTTGATTTGAGGGCAATGAATGTTGATTTGGAAGTGGATGGTGTAACAGGGTTACTAGCTCGGTTGAACATTCGACCTTTGTTGCATGAAAATATTCGTGAGAAGCAGAAGGAGGACTCAAAGTTGGTAAAAATCATTCAAGACATCGAGGAAGGAAAAGAAAGCCCATTTGAAATGGTAGATGGCATGTTGAAGATGAATGGAAGAGCATGTGTTCCTAATGTTGATAACTTGAGGAAAGAGATCCTAGATGAAGATCATTCTTCTGCTTATGCTATGCACCCAGGAGCAACTAAAATGTATCACACGATCAAACCATATTTGTGGTGGCGTGGGATTAAAAAGAAAGCGGCTGAACATATTTTCACATGTCTGGTATGTCAGAAAGTTAAGGCAGAACATCAAGCTCCAGTAGGGAAACTGAAACCACTTCCAATTCCAGAATGGAAGTGGGAAAGAATCACAATGGATTTTGTATATGGTCTCCCATCATCAAGGGGAAGAGATGCAGTATGGGTTATTGTGGACCGACTGACCAAATCGGCTCACTTTTTACCCATTAGATGGAAACCATCACTGGAGACTTTATCTCAATTATATATTAAGGAGATCGTCAGATTGCATGGTGTGCCAATTTCTATTGTCTCTGATCAAAACCCGAGCTTCACATCTCGGTTTTGGCAAAATTTACATGATGCCTTGGGAACTAAATTACATTTTACTTCAGCTTATCATCCTCAAACAGATGGGCAGAGTGAACGAACCATCCTAACTTTGGAGGAATTACTTCGATCATGTGTAATGCAATGGGAGGAATCATGGATTGACCATTTGCCCTTGATTGAGTTTGCTTACAACAATCAGTACCATAGTAGTTTGGGTGTTCCACCATATGAAGCACTTTATGGGAGGAAGTGTAGAACACCATTATGTTGGGATGTAGAAGGAGCAAGGCAAATATCAGGGCCAGACATAGTTCAGATCACAGTTGATAAGGTAAAGGAAATCAGGGAGCGTATTCGGGTGGCTCAAGATCGGCAGAAAGTTTATGTTGACACGAATAGGCGTGAAGTTAATTTCGAAGTGGGTGAGAAAGTATTTCTCAAAGTGTCACCATGGAAAGGGGTGATGAGATCTGGTAAGAAAGGAAAGCTTGCACCTCGATATATTGGGCCATATGAAATCACAGAGAAGATTGGACCAGTGGCTTATAAGTTGGCATTGCCTCCAGAACTATCTCAAATCCACAATGTGTTTCATGTTAGTATGCTGAAGAGGTACAAAGTGGATCCTTCCCATGTTATACAACCAGAAGATATCGAGTTGGGTCCAGAGTTGACATTTGAAGAGGTTCCAGTTGAGATTGTTGATTACCAGATTAAGAATCTTCGTAGAAAAGAAATCCCAATGTTGAAATTGGTTTGGAGAAATCAAGAAAGTGAGAGTGCTAACTGGGAGACTGAAGCAAGTATGCGAGAGAAGTACCCTGAGTTAGTAGCAACCTACTTTGAAGGTGATGCGGAATGGGATTTCACGCACCGGTGATCTCGAGCGATTTAGCGAAAGAACTAGAAAACACGATAAAAGAGCTACTTTTCTCTACTAACTACTAATACTTTATTGATCGACTTAATAAAACGAAGAGCAAATGTACATATTTATAGGATTAATCCTACAAACCCCTTTCCTCTTAAGACAAGGAACCCAAACCTAAAGCAATAAGTAAATGATTACTTCCTAAATAAGATAGATAATAATAATCCTAGACCCAAACTAATACGAATAACCCGAATGATACCCACTATCCCAACAAATAATAATAATAAAACAATAATAATAATAATATTAATGGGCTCGGCCCAAGATGCTGTCACGCATCAATCCTCCCCCCTTTTAAGAACTTCATCCCCGAAGTTCAAGCGCCATCTCAACCCAGATCAATGAAGAAGAATCGTTCCCACGTGTTGATGACTATGAAGAGAACATCTCCCTGTCGATGCCAACCTCGCTTACGAAATTTCCAATTAGGCTCGGGCACTCGAACCATGCTTCTATCACCGAATGCCATCAAATCCTCCTCTTCGCTCCACTCGAGCTTCCTCGCTGCCCAAGCATACATCAACTCCCAACTTCATGCGTTTGAATAACCCTCACCGCTTCTTATTGCAACTTTGCCTGCATTAATTTGCTAGCCCTCCAATCCTTCTCTTCCACACACACTTCCAAAACAACACTTCCATTTCACCCCATGCATTCTACGTACAGGCTCACAATAATGGGCTCTTTTCATACCCATTTTTATTTCATGACATCCTTGCAAATCACAAGTAAAACCCAATCGCCACTCATCCTGCACTTCCACTTTATCTCCACCTTCAACTCCTCGCAGGCTGAGAGTTCCATTATTCTCATCAGTCGTATTCCTTTCTTCACAAGATTGCCAGAAGTTCGACGACCCATACTTGCGTCGCAAAATGGCTTTAATATCATCGCAAGCAGCCACGTTTCTCGTCGATTGGATAGAAACTTCCGAACCTAACGAACCAATCCCGTATAATAATGCTCCGGTTAGCCCACCCATGCTCGGTCCAATGCATCCAGGAACCAATCCATGTCGCAGCGGTCCACACGAGACTCCCCTTAGACTCGATCCTGCTTTAGTGTCATACCCACCATTCGGACGTAATTGCAACAACTCCTTTATCCCATGCGTATGAACCTGCGGAGAGGAAGAATCCATCGTGGCGACGTCGATGGCAGCCTTACATTGAGTTGTCGTAACCACTGACGACTCCTCGCAATCTCCCCTTGTTGTGCGGCTTGGCGGAACAGAAGCTCCCGGCATCAATGGTGGAGCAGACGGCGGGACATCGACTGGAACAGCTCCATCTTCATCCCCGGCATCCAATGACTCATTGGTTGCTTCGGTCACATCAACGACAATGGCATCGAGTCCTTTCTTCCTCTTCTTCCTACCATAGAAGCGCCTCTCTCCCTTAAGGCGGATGGTCATGATATCATCGACGTTTGGCGCTGCAGTAGCCAAGCCATGGCTTGACAATGGGACGAGCGATCCCTCCAGCTCGCAGCATGATGGGGCTGCCTCTTCTTCCTCCTTAACAGGGTCGAGAACCAACTTCGACGTCTTGGCGGCATCCTTGCTAGTTGGCGTTGCTGGGAGGTCGACAGAAGCAAACGGAAAAGCGCGACCGCCTTCCTTGTTGCCCAATGTCACAAACGATTCGATCTTCACATGCAGTATACCGATATTGAGCGAAGGGGGGGTGACAACCTTGTTGTGAGAGCTAACCGCAACTTCTTTCAACTTCTCGCCCGTCAGAACGTCGACATTGTGTCCTCCCCTTTCAATCGGCTTGACGGAATCAAAGTCAACTGGCTCCAATACCTCGTATTTGGCGAAGAGCTCTGCTAATCGTTGTTCCCTGCTTAATGATGCCTCCTTCGGAGTCATCTGTTTGGCGGTGTCCATATCAGCAGTCCGCCGCAGCTTGTCCTCTTTCACTCGATGACTCTCCTGGCCCTGCCACATTGACCCGTTGCTGTTAACGGCTGAGATCTCAACGTTATTTGGCAAGTACTCCTCCGACCACGGCTCCTCCGATGAAGACCTCGCGTCGGACTGCTCTAGGATGTGGTTGGCGAGTCATCGCCATCGCCTTCAATCTTGACTTGTTCTAACCCGACCCATGACGATTGTTTTTGCTTGCATCGTTGTCGAATTTCGGCTGGTGGCGACTCCTGGTCTATAGTTGTGAATCCCTTGTTATCTTTCGCGTCACCCTCAACCAAATAATAAGGCGGATGATAAACCACCATCCGAGGATCAAACTCCTTTGGGTGAAAACACTCATGGTAACAAGACTGCAAGCGTTGATCTTGACAACGGTGAGTTACGACAATTAGCGAATTTGTTGCTTCCGCAACTCGAGCTCTGGCGGCCAAGCTCTCTAGGTCTTGGTGGTTGTCTCGAGCAGAATAAGAACGGTACAACGGCCATGGCGTATGATGTGACGACGACGGGTACGAAGGCGGTAGAGGACGTAACGGAGACGGATAGCTAGGGCAACACATAGCTAGATGAGGAAGAACGTCCTCATAGCTTCGTGTCCCTGGCGCGTAACCCTCTCCTCCTGGATGTTGCGTGAAAATCGGCATAGCGAATTCAGCGCCTAACCAGGCTCTGATACCAATTGATGCGGAATGAGATTTTACGCACTGGTGATCTCGAGCGATTTAGCGAAAGAACTAGAAAACACGATAAAAAAGCTACTTTTCTCTACTAACTACTAATACTTTATTGATCGACTTAATAAAACGAAGAGCAAAGGTACATATTTATAGGATTAATCCTACAAACCCCTTTCCTCTTAAGACAAGGAACCCAAACCTAAAGCAACAAGTAAATGATTACTTCCTAAACAAGATAGATAATAATCCTAGACCCAAACTAATACGAATAACCCGAATAATAACCGACTATCCCAACAAATAATAATAATAAAACAATAATAATAATAATAATAATAATAATAATATTAATGGGCTCGGCCCAAGATGCTGTCACACATCAGAAGGTTAACAATCTTGCTTAATAAGTTATGTTTTGAGCTTGTTGATGTGCTTTTGTTGTGATAACCCGATGTAGGTTTTTTAAACCTTATATTGGGAACTTGAGGTATTATGTGTTTAGTTATGCAATTCAGATCTCCTAACCTAAGAGTTAGGTAATGGTTTATCTATGATAGACCATGTTAAGAGTAAGTAAGCAGACATAGAGTACAACTCAAGGATAGATTTCGGGGATGAAATCTTTTAAGGTGGGGAGAATTGTAACATCCCGTTCCGAAAAATCCCATATTTCGATCGCTAGAAAGTTCACGATTTAAAATCGAGCGTTTTTATAGTATTTCGACGAAAATCGGATTATCGATCGATCGAATAAGTATACATATTTATTATATAATATATATATTTTTTATAATTAATATAAAAAACAATTACCGATCGTGACCGCACATATATTCTCCCCGTGTCCATTTCTTTTTCCCCATCATGCGTTGCATTTCCATTTTCTCCAAACCAGAGCGAGCAGAGCAGGAACAGGGGAGCTCGGTAAAAATTCCAAAGCTCAAATTCTTGAGCCCTAGTGATCCAAAAATTCCGTAAGTAATGCCTAATTCATCTATACATCGTGATTTATCGATTTAGAGCTTTAAAACGAGTTTTTGGTTCAGGAATTTCTTGAATTCCCGATAAGTCAAGTTAGGGTTTCGGAGTATCCGGAAGCCGGATTGAGCCCAAATTTCATATACGAGCTTCCTGCGGCGAGGTAATCATTCCTCTAGTTTTAATCAATGAATTTTGGCTATTATTTAGGTCGGAGCAGGGATCGCTGAATTTAGCTCTAGCCAGGGTTTGATGTGTTTTTATCAAGAATTTGACCCGGAGCCTAGAACTAATATTGACGGGGATACTGCAGGGGATATTAGGACGGTCTTGGATTTTAATTCAAGGTTCGTTCGTGAAATTGACGTTTTAGTACGGGAGGGAAAAACCGGTGTTTGAACGACTAGAACTGGTGAGGGATTAGCACGACATACCGGGTTTGTCGTATCACGATAATTATATTAATGCTTAGAATTGACCAAAGTGAACTAGAATGGCATGATTAGGGATATATGAACTTTTGTGCTATATGTTGAACCCTGAACTGCTGTATGATATTATTGACTTGCCTTAATCGATATGGACCGTGTTTATGTTGATGATTGCATACATGTTGCCATTTGTGGCTTAACTGTTAATATGACTTCATGGTTGTTCGATCAGGTGTTTTGACATGATGTGATATTGTGGTTGTATTTGGATTCACAATTGGAGGAAATAAACTTCCCAGGGTGATATTTTGATGTTTAAGGAGGATGACTTGCACGAGGGTTTATCCCGAGGAAGTGCAATTATACGACTCCTGGTTATGTTGAGCCAATTGTGGCCAGGCCAAGAACATGTCTAAGTAATGAATTATGATTAAGCAAGATGAGATATGGATCATGTATAAGGATACCAAGTAAGAGTACTTTGGTCTCATGGTCAATTACATAGCAATTAGGGCTCCCCATGCTATTACTCTGTCATGATATGTTATGTCACACCCCTGATGTGGTGTTGACCGTTGATTCATCATGAGATATGACCACACCCAGAGTGGTGTCAGGTCCGATATGACTACACCGGCAGTAGTGGGTCCGATATGACCACATCCACGAGATGTTTGGTCCGTATTCCCGGGAGAGTAATTAGCATGGGAGTAGCCAGGCGCCTATGATTAAAACATGATAAGATGAATATGCATAAGTCAAGGTGGTTGAGTCTTTTGCCTATTGGGATGTCGGATGGCTGAGGTCTCATCCTAGTGTTTTGGCTTGATTGTTAGATGTATGATAGGGGTATGCTCTGTTATGAACTCACGATGCTATGATTATCTCACTTAGCTATTAGCTGACCCTCTTTTATTCTTCTTCTCTGCTTATGCTATGTGTAAGCAGATCATCAGCAGCAGCAGTATATAAGTGTTAGGTGGGAGAGGAGCTAGAGTTGAAGGCAAGATGAGGTATGGTCTTCAACTATTTTGTGCTTGGAATACTACTCGGGATTTTGGCCAGTGATCCACACCTTTTTGTAAAAATGTTTTGAGAACGTTTTTCATGTGCATACTAGCTTCTGATGTAGTGTGAGATATCCACAGGTGTGGAAAGTTAATGATATGTGTATATTGTGTAATTATGTAAGTTGTGATGATTACAGCATGTATCGGTATCATGCTGGTGGCATGCCACCCGCATGAACCTGGTTCAACGTGTGCCGGTCATGAAATCGATATGACACCGCCGGTATGATCGACTTACACATTCTAAGTTTAATGACATCATTTTAATCAATTTAATAAATTAAAAAAATTAATTTATTATTCATTTTATGAATATAATAATTAAAAGATGATGATATTTGTTGGATTGTAACTAAATTGTCCACAAATATGTTTTATATATGATGAAATACATTGGATATTAATTATTTTCATTTTTTTAAACCAGCATGAACCGACACAAACTGGTTATACCACCGGTTGTACCATTCCACTTGCCAAACTGGCACAACGGTATAAACCGGTTTGACAACCTTGATCAGTATAGTATGTAGTTGTGTAGTATGAAACTGTGACTTTGGCTTTGAAAAGCCAATGCATATGGTTGTGAGTATATATATTTGTCTATGAATGTATGGATTCAGATGAATTATTTTGCAGGATTAGATTGAAGAACTATTAGCCCATTACGCGAGTAATCCATGTCGAAATTTTATTTGGGTAAATTTTGATAATTAATGTAACACCCGAGATTAATTCCGCTGCAATTGTATGAAGAATATGATTAGGCAATACGTACATGTTAGGATCTTACAGCACGGTTTCCTAAACCATGGTGAAAACCTTTTGCCACCATGTCACCTAGTCGGAGATTAAGTGTGGGGGAGTAGTCTTATCCCCCCCTAGTTGCATTTATTTACGAGTTGTCCATGTATGGTGTATGGTTTGGTGTTAGTTTACAGGTATGGTTAATCTGAACCACCCGTACCTTAAACCATTGGCGAACCACCCCAAATTAAGGGATGACACTGCCGTTTGGCGTGTGGCATTGATTCGACCCCATTGGCAGTTAGACCTCAATAAGTTTGTTGTTCTTAATTGAAGAGCTAAGATGTCGGATGCAATAGCACATCCTCAATGGCACCGCCTCCTTGAGATCCATGATGATATTTACAAAGAGCTCTCTGTCAAGTTTTACTGCTTTTTTGTCCATGTACAACCCGCCAGATTTGCGGCCACGGTCAACCGTACTTCGTGTTTGGGGTTGGAGGTAAAAATCAATAGATGAGTTATAATGAGTTAGCCGAGGCAATGGGGTTGGACAATTTCCGTATGCATGGTTGATGCTCTAAAACACAACACCAAACTGCGACCAAGTATAATCGCAGTCCGGGAATGCAGTAAAGTGACAAGTTATATTATCAACCCGGGGTCTAGATCTACTGCTTACTCAGTGATTCTCTATTATCTAGCCAACTAAGTTAAGTGTTTGTTGTGTAAAAGCAAAAGCAGAAAGAAAGCAGGAATTGGTACGGTTTTCTCAAGCAGGTAAGAGTCACTCGGGAATGAGTCACCCTAGCTCCTTAGTTAGGTTTCAATTGTATTTCCCTGGGTTGATTTACTGTTGATTAGACTGCAGAAGATCCGACAGTAGCTTGGAATCTCTTAAGCTGACCAAGCCCTCTCAATCTAACTACCCGGCAGACGACAAGTCTTCACCGGGATAGAAAGCTGAAGCAGTAAGAACAGAACTCCACTACTGGAATTGGATTCCAGTACAAAGCAGTAAACTGGCTAACTCTCGTATAGCCAATCTCCTACTACCGAATGATGAGACTCTAGCAACCTAATCAGATTCTATCTATCTCAGATTGCAGCAGGAATCAGGAAAAGTTGATCAGACTTCAATTGACTCAATAAACATGCACCATTCGATTAAAATCAAACAGTAATATCATCCCAAGTCATTACAATCAATCCCTAACACATAGAACTAGGGTTCTTCATCCCCCAAGTGAGAGAGAGGTTCTACTCCATAGAGAGAGAGAGAGAGAGAGAGAGGAAAACAAGGTACAAAGCAGTCATACTCATTACAATGGGAAGAATCTGCTCTGGGATGATGATATCCACTCCTGTGACGATCTCCAAGCTCGATTTGATGAAACACAGCTCCAAGATAGCTTCTAGGATGTGTTCTTCGTCCTTTCTCTCTCTAGGGCTCTGTTTTTGCTCAAAAAGTCCGATTCTTCCACTTGTGGCTCGAAATTGGCTGAAAAACCAAGATTTCCCGACTCACACGGGCAGGCCACACGGTCGTGTGGCTCACCCAGTTGCCCGTGTGAGTCAAAACGCGGCATATCAATTAGTTCGATCTTCAGGCTTCCCACACGGCCAGGGTCGCACGGCCGTGTGGGATTTCCATCCTGCCCGTGTTTGCTCTCGGCGAAAATCACACGGCCACAAATGTGAGTTGCACGGCCGTGTGATGTCCAGGAATACCCGTGCGGCTTCCTTAGCACCTCGCCACGCGTCCGATCTTCGTCCAATCGACCCCAAACTCGCTCCCAAGCCTCCATTCACGTACTAGGACCTGAAATATCACAAACAAGCACAACCTAGCGTGAAATCGGCCTAAAACACGAGAATCAACACCTCAAACGGTGTAAGAACAGGGGTAAAAACATGTGTAATTAACGGTCTATCAAACTCCCCCACACTTAACCGTTTGCTTGTCCCCAAGCAAACCAAGTCAGATACAAGGTAAGCTCACATATTTCAATCAACCAGCATTGGGGACAAGTCATAAAGGCACAGAACACGTGAATCGTACTGGTTTTCAAACATCAATACATGAACAACCTCAACAGCAACCTGGACAACCACCACAAAGGACATTCGAGTGCAGCAAAATCGAGTAAGGGAAGAGTCTCCCTTCTGTTCACCAACCAACCTAGACTTGACTCAACCACTTACTCAAAACAGTCAACTCATGCATCCAACTCAAGACATCAGAATAGAGACAGAGCAATCTAGGTCCTCACCGGGGTACAAGAGTATATAGAATATGAAAATGAATCACTCACTCTCGACCAGTGGGGTCAGGACAATTTGATGCGAAAAATGCGCATGTTATTTCTCTCAATCCCTAACATCTCTTCACCATGATGGCAGCCTCTAAATGCTAGAGTTCACATATGGGGTGTCACCACTAACTAATCAGGAGGTCTTAGACACAGGTTCAAATGACTGGCTAGGGTCTTGGACATGGGGAAAAGGCCTTTTAGGTGGTGGAAGCATTCATAGCACAAGGTTCCACATTTCCAAGCCCACACAATCACAGTCAAACAAACCGGTATTTCCTTTCTGCTATTCTGCATTACTCAATATCTCAAGAGCACAAGAGCGAAGGAGGTATAAATGTCAGCATTTCCAAGCCAGACTGCTAAGAAACACTACTTACTGGGCATTATTCAGATTTTTGGTAGTGGCTCTCTTTGCTTTCAATTTTTCTTTGTTTTTTTCTTTTCATTTCTTAAGAGAGCCACCACTTCTGCACATATTTCAAACACATGCCCAGCCCAACTTTTAAGCACTACCTCCAACACTCACATCAAATTTAGCAGAAACAGCAGAGAATATGTAAAAACCACTCTGTGGAACCTTCTAAAAGATGCAAAAGGGTGATTTTTTTTTTCATTTCAGACCAAAAGAAAGGATAACACACGGCTCAAAAGGGCTGACTAGGGGATATGACACATCAGGACAGTCAAATTTGGTCGTGGGCTAATCCTATGCCCCCATCATCTTAGCTAGTGACAACGTGAATGCTACACATCATGGAAGAGGGATCTATCGCACAAGAAAGAAACGAGCAGGCTCAAATCTCACATGGCTACCTATATGCTCTATCTCACATTCTGATACCCTGAACTAGATGCATAAACGACTTTCAAGAACAAGTGATTAAATCAAGTCACAGTTGGTAAGCAAACAGTTGAAAGAACTGAACCCCTACACAATTCTACTGCACGTCTCAGTCCTCATCATAGGTTGTCCTAGTCACCATCCAGTTGTCATGCATTAATCCGAAAACCATTCAATTCACCAAACAAAACACAGTGCCAATATGATCAAACAGCCGTACTCGGAGCCCTCAAATCTCGAGATTTGGACAGTGGACTAGGCTCCAAGCACACAAATATATATTCCAACCGATACAAAGCACCCCCCACACTTAAGCACGACATTACCCTCAATGGAGTAGAGGGAGAGATAAGGGGAACGATGTTACCGGATTGAAATACTGTTGGGGGACTGGAAGTGGACCAGTCAGCGAGAAACAAACGGGAAGATGGACAGTTCTGCACGAATCGAACACCAAGAACACACTAGCACACTGTGCGTTAGTGATAAGTGTTAGCCCAGATGGCTACAAAATAAACAATCCACAAAAGACAAGAACAAAACACACGACAAACTAAGTTCAAGCTCCTCAAACACATGGAGCAAACAGAAAAAGTCTAAAACAAAAACACACTGAGGGGGGCGACAAGTACCGCCTACTCGTCGCCGAGGTTGCTGAAGTTGATGCTGACACGGCCAGGCTGACACGGCCGTGTGAGGTGCACTTTTGCCCGTGTCGGCCGACACGGCTAGGCCGAGGAATTCCAAACGGCCGTGCGAGTTGCACTTTTGGCCGTGTGGAATTTGCCGAGAGCTCGCACAGCCAATGGAAAAAATCCACACGGCCGTGCGATAAAATGAGTTGCCCGTGTCGGCCACACGGCCAGGCCAGGCCAATCCACACGGCCATGCGAGTTGCACTTTTGGCCGTGTGGAAATTGCCGAGAGCTCACACGGCCAATGGAAAAAATCCACACGGTCGTGTGAGTTTCAGGCTTGGCCGTGTGAACTGCTAGAGCCCCGAATTCAACCTGTTTTCACTCAAAAACGACATACAACTCATGAACAACCCCTCAAGACTAAAAAAACACAAAAAATCAAAAGGAAAAAGGAAAGAAAATGCAAACCTAAGTGGGGTTGCCTCCCCACAAGCGCTTCTTTACCGTCTTTTAGCTGGACGCCAGTCGGTGGATGCTCAATGAGGTGAAGGAGAAGGTGCCTTCAAGAGCGGATCCACCTCGCTCTTGAGGTACAGCTTCAAATGGTGGCCATGCATACGCCGAATGTGGCCACCAGCATTTGCCAACTCAACTTGGCCATCCGGCAGGATGTAAGCGAGTGAATACTCGGATGGCCAAGGTGGGGGCAGGACCAGCTCATAGTGGTCTCCGGCTTTCTTTCGAGCAGGCTTAGTTGCCCGCTATTTCGGCCGCCACTCCTCCCTGATTTGTTCCTTCGATGACGGAGTGGACGGGAGTGGCGGCGAAGGTATGGGAGGCGGATCCTGCAAAATAGGCAACACAGAAGGATACACGACAGACTCGTGCTCCTGGTGAGATACAACATGCAAAGGCGAAGAAGCAGGGAGAGTATTAGTAATTGAAAATGTTATTCGCTCCTCACCATCCCTCAAAACTAAGGTCCCATCATGCACATCTATGAGGGCCTTGGCGGTGGCCAGGAAAGGCCTTCCCAGTATCAATGGCACATCCACATCCTTATTTATGTCCAAAATCACAAAATCAACTGGATAATTGAATTTGCCAACCTTAACCAGAAGGTCTTCCACTATGCCCCTAGGATGCACTACAAATCGGTCAGCTAATTGAAGGCTCATCCTAGTAGCACGGGGTTCACCTAGGCCTAGTTTCTTAAACAGTTTATATGGCATAACATTGATACTAGCACCTAAATCCTCCAAGGACCGCTCTACATGCAAATTATCTATAGAGCACGGGATAGTAAAACTACCTGGGTCCTTCTGCTTCTGCGGAAGCTTGTTCTGCAGAATGGCCGAGCACTCCTCGCTGAGCTCCACAGTGGCCAGCTCGCTCAGCTTCTGCTTCTTTGAGAGAAGATCCTTCAGGAACTTCGCATACTTAGGCATTTGAGAAAGTGCCTCCAGGAAGGGTACTTGGACATTCAGCTTCCTAAGCATGGCCATGAAGCTCTCGAACTCTGCCTCCAGCCTGTCTTTGTGCAACCGAGTAGGGAAGGGGAGTTTAGGGATATACTCCTTCACTACTGGTTGCGGTTTAGGTGCAGGCACCTCAACCTCCTTCTCTGCTTCTTCTTCAACTGCTGGAGATGCCGAGGCAGGGGCCTCTCTCTCTTGTGCCCGAGCAGGTGGATCAACAGTCATCTTGCCACTCCTGGTCATGATGGCATTGCAGTGCTCATTCGGGTTCTGAGGGTGAGGGATGGTCTGACCGGGCAAAGTACCAGGAGCCCTTTGCGCCACTGCTTGAGCCACACTCCCCAGCTGGGTTTGGATATCCTGCAAGACAGCCTGTGTGTTCCTCTGGCCAGCTTCAAGAGCCAGGAATTTACCCGATGCCTTTTCCATGAACTGCTCTATAGTGTTGATTTTCTGAGCACTAGAACTGGCGAGAGAACCCACCAAGTCCCGCAATTCAGCCATCGGATCATTCTGCACTGGGGTGGCAGGGGTTGCACCTGGCTGCTGGAAAGGTCGCGGCTGTGATTGAGCAGCCTGCCCCTGCATGGGCTGGTAGAGAGACTGCTACTGCTGCTGGAATTGCCCCTGTCTGGACTGATATGGTGGCCTCTGGAAGCCCGGTGGTCCCTGGTGGACTGGTGGTCTGGGATTTGCCCCACCCCAGGAGAAGTTGGGATGCTGGCGCCACCCCTCATTGTAGGTGTTACTGTAGGGGTCATTGCGTCTGACATTGTTGATGAAGTTCACCTGCTCCTGGGGTGTGGTCGATTCCTTCATCGCCTGGCTGTCATCCACTGTATGATGGGTGCTCTCGCACCACTGGCAGAGCATCGCCTGCTGCTGTCCGGTCCCTGGAATCATCCCGGAACGATCGATAGCTGAAACCAGCTTCGACACCACCTGCACCAAATCAGAGGAATGGTTTCCCACAGAATGTACACCTCGGCTTGGTGCTCTCCTCGACCTCCTAGCAGTGCCCCAATCATACCCGTTCTCTGCCATCTCCTCAAAGAGTTGATTCAGCTGTGGCGGTGTTTTGGTCAGCATGTTCCCGCCACAGACCGAATCAATCAGCTGCTTATCTTCTGGGAAGAGGGCATGATAGAAGGTTCCCACCTTGAAAGCATCGTTGAAACCATGATTGGGACACCTCAGGAAGAGACTGTTGTATCTCTCCCAAGCATCCCGGATGGTCTCATCTTCATCCTGGGTGAAGTGGGTGATCTGCTTCTGCAAGTCCGCCGTCTTCGACGGAGGATGGTAGCGGGTAAGGAACTTGTCCGCCAGGTTGGCGAACGTGGTGATGGACCCTGGAGGTCGAGTGTCTAGCCACTCCTTGGCCTGTCCCTCCAGGGTGAATGGGAAGTACCTCAGCTGGATGGCATCTGCTGGGACCCCATTGATCTTGATTCCATCGATGAGCTCGTGGAATCGCCTGAGATGTGATCGGGGGCACTCCCCCTCTTTGCCACGGAACACCACTGAACCGCGCAGCATGGTGATTACTGAGGTGCTCACCTCGAAATTATTGGCTGGGACATGAGGGTGTTGTATGGGTGACCTCATGTCTGCAGCCCTAGCGGTCCAGTAGGATCCCATGGTCTGCTCCCCAGGATTGACCACATCATGGTCTTGTGGATCAGCCATCTCCTCCTCTTCAGTGATCTGTAGCTGTGCTAGCGCCTACTCCGCAGCCAGTCGCGCCTTTAGAGCCCGCTTGAAGTTTCTGCAGGTTCGTTCAAGCTCCTGGTCTAGTGGTAGTAGATCTCCCGACTGGCTACGGGTCATGCACTACCTGCACACAATCAGCAGAAGCAACCCGTGAAGGCACACAGGTGGAAGAGATAAAATGCAGTAAATAAAAATCTAGAGTAACAGATTTTCACGTTTCCCCAATAACCTAGAGGGTCCCCGGCAACGGCGCCAAAAACTTGATGCTCTAAAACACA